CGAAGTAACAATGTAACAATGTAACAAGGTAACAGGGTAACAGGGTAACAAAGTAATAGGGTAACAAGGTAACAGGGTAACAGGGTAAACAGGTAACAGGGTAACAGAGTAACAAGGTAAAAGGGTAACAAGGTAACAGGGTAACAAGGTAACAAGGTAACAGGGTAACAAGGTAACAGGGTAACAGGGTAACAGGGTAACAAGGTAACAGGGTAACAAGGTAACAGGGTAACAAGGTAACAGGGTAACAGGGTAACAGGGTAACAAGGTAACAGGGTAACGGGGTAACAGGGTAACAGAGTAAAAGGGTAACAGGGTAACGAGGTAACAGGGTAACAGAGTAATAGGGTAACAGGGTAACAGGTTAACAAGGTAACAGGGTAACGGGGTAACAGGGTAACAGAGTAAAAGGGTAACAGGGTAACGAGGTAATAGGGTAAAAGGTGACAGAGTATCAAGGTAACAGAGTAACGGAGTAAAAGGGTAACAGTGGAACAGGGTAACAATGTAACAGGGTAACAAGGTAACAGGGTAACAGGGTAACAAGGTAACAGGGTAACAAGGTAACAGGATAACAGAGTAAAAGGGTAACAGGGTAACAAGGTGACAGAGTATCAAGGTAACAGGGTAACAGGTAAAAGGGTAACAATGTAAAAGGGTAACAAGGTAACACGGTAACAGGGTAACAAGGTAACAAGGCAACAGGGTAACAGGGTAACAAAGTAACAGGGTATCAAGGATACAAGGTAACAGGGTAACAAGGTAACAGGGTAACGGGGTAAGATGGTAACGGAGTAAAAGGGTAAGGGGGTAACAAGGTAAGAGTGTAATAAGTTAACAGGGTAACCGAGTAAAAGGGTATCAGGGTAACAGGGGAACTCGGTAACAGGGTAACAAGGTAACAGGGTAACAGGGCAACAAGGTATCACGGTAACATGGTAACAGGGTAACAAGGTAACAAGGCAACTGGGTAACAGGGTAACAAGGTAACAGGGTAACAAGGTAACAAGGCAACAGGGTAACAGGGTAACAAAGTAACAGGGTATCAAGGTAACAAGGTAACAGGGTAACGGGGTAAGATGGTAACGGAGTAAAAGGGTAAGGGGGTAACAAGGAACGAGTGTAATAAGTTAACAGGGTAACCGAGTAAAAGGGTATCAGGGTAACAAGGTATCACGGTAACATGGTAACAGGGTAACAAGGTAACAAGGCAACAGGGTAACAGGGTAAAAAGGTAACAGGGTAATAAGGTAACAGGGTAACACGGTAACACGGTAACGGGGTAACAAGGTAACAAGGTATCACGGTAACAAGGTAACAGGGTAACAAGGTAACAAGGCAACAGGGTAACAGGGTAACAAGGTAACAGGGTAATAAGGTAACAGGGTAACAAGGTAACAGGGTAACAAGGTATCAGGATAACAGGGTAACAAGGTAACTGGGTAACATTGTAATAAGGTAACAGGATAACGGGGTAACGCCGCGAAGTTAAAGCCAGCGGTGCCCCGAAGAAAACAGTACGATGAAACGATGGATGCGACGACTCGAAGACATGGAACCGACGCCAAGAAGACAACAGACAACAAGACGCTACGGAGCGTACACTTCGGCGTTGTGGTTGTGGAACTAATTTAACTGCGGAGGAATCGTAAGAAATCAAATATGGTAAGAGTAAGGTGTTAATTTGTGAAATTATGGGATTTATCAGGATATGCTGAAAAGAGCAACATCCAAGAGGCCTACTTGCCAAAAACTTGCATTTCGGGACAAATTGTCTCCGAGATATTAGCCCAGTTATGCTCTGATGACTCCATACAAATCCTTCTAAAAAAACAATTCTCTATTTTTCTTAGTCACATTAGGCTTCAGCAAAAACAGCATAGCAGTCTCATGTACTGATTAAAGATATGTAAGGCATGGGTAAGGAGTCAATTACGTTGAGCATGGAATTGGCTAAAACTCAAAGTCACGAGTTCGAATGTTTTGAGGATAGCTATTCACTGACTATCAGCATGCAGGGATGTCGGATTAACACAAGGAAGTTAAACACCAAAGGAACATAGCCTTTACAGAGCTTTAAAACACAGCATCCACCAACACAAACTTGACTTGAACTTTGAGTAAAACTAAACAGCCTCTACCAATAATAACAAACTCTCACTTGAACTTCAGATATCTTACGGCTTCCGCGAACTTGTAAACACAATACCTGAAAATCGACCTTCGTCACACTTGACTAAACACAGCAGTCCAGCTCGTGGGAAGAAACTTAGAACTCGCTTGGATCTTGTATACCGTTTGACATAAGGTTCTAGAAAATACTAAACAGCAGGCGAATAGTAATAGCTTTTCGACATATTTTATGATTTCAGTAACTGATGCAAATCTGCTGACTCATACTGAAATGTAACCTGATGCCCTAATTAATTATTCATGGGTAATCCAAAAACGTAGAGAACGTTCGAGAAAGTCACGCAACGCATGAAAGCAATTTTACTACGTAACATCAACAAAGACAAAATGTCTTTTTGCAGCATTTTGTAACCTTAAATTCATCATAAAACAGTTCGAAAGGAGGGTTCACTCGTGAAATGTTTTTCAACACTCGAAGAGAAATTTCGTGTCTCTGCGCGGCCACGAAATATCCTCTATGTATTCCTCGAGTAATTAAAGACTAAACTCCAAGTGATCTCAAGATATCACGAAGTAGTCCAGTCTCATTTCGTGAAATAGTTGAAACAAGCCGAAAAGTCACGAACTTGCACGCCCAATCTTGTCCCGAAACTAGTGCATCATTTGATAACTATTTTTCACATGCCAAACTACCTTGAGTCGCAGTAGCGCAATCGGCTAATTCCTCAACTTAGAGTCTCCTCTGATCTGACGGGTCACACAGGTGAGTCGGTTCAAACCCCGGGAAGGCCACAATAATAATTCTTTCTTCCTCGAAAAAGTTAAAGAATAAATCAAAGAAATCGAAGTGATCTCGAGATATCTCGAATTAATTCGGCTCTCGCTTCGTCAAACAGCCGAATAAAACCGAAAACCTACAGACTTTGCATGCCCAATCTTGTCAAAAAATTGTAACTTTGATACATTCCTGAGCGTCGCGAAACCTTTACTTCGCGCTCCGCCGAAGTAATTACTCGAAGAACAATTTTCGAAGCGAAGAAGTGTTTCCAAGGCCACGAAATCTGAATATCGATTTTGTCCCCGATCTTACGCCATAGGCTGCCTTCCGCTCCGTGTGTTGTCGGTCAATTATAGCCTTGGACTTTATTTGTATAGCTCTTTAAATTATCCATACTGAATATTCTCACACATAATTATAACATACAACTGGTGGGACCGAGTAGGAAACGCAACACAGGACGATTTACGCAGCTTTGCTCAAAACAACCTGGGCGTTTTCACAGGGTTCCCACACAATCTGTTCGTGTACTGATGTAATTTCATGGTAAATGTACTGTATTTACCGTCTGCTCCATGTGTAACGATATATCGCTAATGTATATACACACTCAGTGATCTTGGTGATTTAAGCAATCTGATTGGTTCGCTATCTCGGACTATTCAACAATATTCACCTCCTAGCGAGTGGATAATGTGTGAGCTCGGTGTTTTTCCCGTTTTTTTTAGAGAACGATCTTTTAAAAGTCGACAAAATCCTAGGGCTGACTTTTTTTAAGGCAAGAAAAGACTTGGAAGGATTCAATACGGCGTTTTTCAATTTACTGTAGCAGGAGTTTTGTGCTCGATGGATTGTTTACAACTCCCGTGTATTCGCGTAGAAGAAGCCGTTTCGTGAACTCAGCGTTTTCTAAGAAGAAAATTTTGGCTCAAAAATCGAAGTTTATTTATGACAAACAAATTTAAAAGGAAATGTTTGCAGAAATTCTACATTTCAAGTAAACAGGAAAAAGAATGATACAGGAAGACGACCTCTTACCTCGAGCAACCGAGCCGCCATTTTTGTCAGCACTTCATGCGAAGAACGACACAACATGCCCTTTTGGCTATAAACTTGGCGAGTCAACAGAAAGCAACACAGCTCTACTTTTTTTCTCAGGTAAGGAAACAGTTCAAACTTTTAGCGATTCCATTGAAGCCATTACGCTGTTGTTTGCGAAATGAGTAAACTTGTGAATTGCCATGTTTGAAAATTCTGCAAAGACCTATTTTTAAACTTACGCGTGATTTGATCTGTCAATCAAATCCTACTTTTGAATGGTTTCCTTTCTGATTTTGTTGAGATCACTTCGTGTGTATATACTAAAACAATTATTCTTCTCAATCTCGGTGAATAGTGGCTTTGGGAATATTTACCTCGCCGCTTTCGCGGCTCGGTAAATATTTTGCCACTATTCACCTCGATTTCAAAGAATAATTGTTAAATATGTGTAGGCATCAAAGCTAACTAAACGTTGTGTTACCTTATCCTCGGTAAATTGTCGTCCTTTTGCCGTAGAATTGGTATTTTGAGCGAGTGTGAAGGAGTTTGAGTTCGCCGTTTAGTGTTCCTCTTAATAGAACTCAAACTCCCTCAACATGGCTCAAGATAATATTTCTGAGGCAAAAGGACGACAATTTACCGTAGGTAAGGTAACACAACATTTACTTAGCATTGATCCATGCACATATTTGGCGATGGTTTGCATCTGGAAGCATAAAATAAATTCGGATACTCACGAGTCCAGCCGTGTCTTAATATTAGGGGAGGAGCAAGACCGGAGCCAGGAGAGCGAGCGGCGGAGTCAAAGCCTACTACATTTTTCATGAATCAATAATATTACTTATTTATTGATATAAATAAATTAATACAAGATAAAAGCTCGGAAGACTGATATTTTTGGTATGGTCTCTTTGTAAAGAAAAACATTTTAAAATTATTTTTGCCCACCCAACTCTGACTTATAAAAATAGGAAGTGCGACTTGAAGGGTCATTCATGAAAATTGTCAAACCAAGATAAAATAAACAAGAACAATTTGCACACTTGTAGCCTTGTTTAATATTTATTTCAAACTATAATTATCTTTCACATATATTAATGCAGTTCTGCACTGTTTCTCGAACATTTTATTTGCGCCTTTGAGGTAGTGTTAGTTAAAAACCACTGAACTGTGTCCTCACGATAACTATTCTGTTTGCAGGTTGTTTTGCGCTTTCTGTGTGTCACTCGCTGGTGTGAAGAAGAGGGTACGTAGACGTCATCTAAAGACAGTCCCACAATGTTTCAGTACCGCATCATTTAGAAGTCTATTATTCGATTTGATTGACAGTTCTAACTCGTCACCATCAAAGCTGGCATGTAAGAGACATATCCCAGACTGCATCACTGTACCGGAGAGAATAACCTTCTTGCCTGAAAATATAAAAAGAATATTCGTTATAAACACCGAGTTTCATGGACCAAGACCCTAATATAGAAATAGTGTGTCGGTTAAAAAAGCCTGTATTTTTACATCGCAGATATGGCAGCAGCTAAAAAGAAGCACTAAAAAAAATTGAATTTCTATAATACGTCCAATAACTTAAAATTGCATTTTCAAAAATCAGCTTGTAAATCTATTGACAAAAAAAATTTTTTTCATATAAACACGTCCAATAACTTTTAAATGTTTTGAGATCTTTGGCTGAGTCATCAATGGATCCCTGTTTTCCACTGAAAGTGAAGGCGGTATTTGGGCGCGCGGACTTGCGGCGAGAACGCCTGCCTGGGTTAGGGGCCAGGGCTCAAATGACTTACTGGTGGGAAAAAGTTTTTCAGGGTGCGCAATTAAGAACGGACCGCAAGGGATTGTTCACCAACGAGCGCATCTTTTATCTCGCGATATAGAAGCTAAGACGAGAGTTCAATAGGATTTTTTTTTTGTTACCCGGCTTGTCTTGAATTCCACGTTCTTCTCTCTCGAATGCTTCTTCTTTGCGCTGGGCTAAATAACACCTGTTTCGCTGGTTCCTCCCCTTTTCACCATATTACACTCCCCTGGGGCCCGTTTCCCGAAAGTCCCGAGAACCTTTCGGGCCCGATATCAAATATTCAAAAACAAAATCTAAGGAATAAAGCAACAGACCAGCCCATTTTGTCTTGCTGACTGGTAGTTTTATCAATATGTTATTTGCAAACAATGTACCAGAAACAGATTTCCAGGCCAAGTAATTCTTGGGAATTTTGATACACGCCCGGCGGGCCTATGAAGTCTGTTCTCCGGCTATTTTATTTTTTACCTATTATTTCCACCAGGTGAAGTTTCAAGGTGTGTTCAGCTTTCTCAGAGAGATCTTGGCAGTTCTTTAATGAGCTCGACACCTTTTGCTTCTTTTCAAATGAAGCGTTAGTCCATTTCTGGGCAAACTCCTCCGTAGTGATCACAAGTGGCCGGAGAATGTCGCTGACGCTCAAAGTGTGGTTAAAGTATAGATGCTTTAACGTCCTGTTGGGGTCTCTATATGAAATCTTGCCACCGAAGTTCATATGAAGCGCCGGAGACTTGTACCTTGAAACAACTTGATGACTCACCTAGCAGTAGAAAAATATGACACGCAGTGAGTGAGTGTGCGGTGCTCCAACAGGCCACCAAATCTATGGATGCGCTGCATTCATCGATTAATCATTCTCCAACTTTTTAAGGGTTTCATATACACAAACTCATTGGACCATAAGAATTTCGGAAGAATGTGTGAAAGGCCTTGAAAGGCCTGACAGCAAGGCCTTGTTTCCTTGCGTCGTGAATGCCCTTCACTGTAATAAGACTGTGAACAAGTTAGGTCCAATACAGTGGTGGGATTTATTACTGACTAAAGGAGAAAAAAATTAAGTAAAATAAGATACTTTTTGAGAGTATTAATTTCACCAATAATCTGGATCTTGTGACAATAAAGATGATATATAACACTGTCAAATATAAATTTGCTGTGCTCATAACACAAAAAGGTAATCATGGGCTAAAGTTACGTTCTTACCCACTCAAGAGGGCCAATTTTTTCATCCTGAAGCTTGTTACTTGGCAAAGAATCAAACGAGCTAATCAGATTGGAGGGTGGCTCAAACACACTAGTGACGTCATGGATTGGGGCATTCACTTGATTTTGATTGGTTAGGAAAAGAACGAGCACAAGTTCATTTGGTTTCCAGACTTTCCTAAGAGTAACTCGTAAGTTATTGTCACAAGAGAGTTCAACGGCTTCCGAAGAGTGCGGAAAATGGACCAAGTCTTCCGGTAATGAGATCGACGGGATGCCTTTAAGCTCTAGACATGGAAGCTGATCTGTGTTCTCCTCGTCAAGCAAATGCGTTTTCTGTAAATAATTATGGGAGTACACGATGTGTTCAGTAAAAATACCAACTAAATCGATACAAGAGTAATCTAGTATACAAATGACGACATGCAGGGCTCGAAAAATAAAGGACTCAAGCATGTCCTTTCAACAAGCAATTTTGACATTTTGTTACGCTGCGCCATTTGCGTGCTTGCTTTGCTTAATGATTAAGTAAATTAATGATTTGCCTGGACCATTGCCCACTGGACAAGGGTCCAGAGCTTTTAAAGTTATGACGCATCAAGAATATCTACCGTGCGACCCGAAGGTACTTTAAATAAGCCTTGGTCACATGTACCGTGCGCCATACGGGGGAATTTCGACGCCGGCGTATGGCCAAGCAATGGAGCGTCTACTAGATCAAATCATTTAAGGGAATGGGTAGGAAAGTTGCAGCAGACTGACAGCAGGCTTTTCCCAAGGAAGGCAATCCAAGACAGTCTTGGATGCTGAATTTCACGTTGTTGATCCCGAATTCTAGGCACTGGATTCCGTTTGCGCTGTCAATAGAACTTGGATTCCGGATTCTAATTGTCAGCAGGAATCTGGATTCTTTGAGCTGAATTACGGATAACAAAGCCCAGGATTCCTGATTCCACAAGCAAAAGTTTCCCAAATTCCTTACATGGGGCGAATAGGCTCTGAATTCACAGAAAAGTTGGGTATAAAAAATATACAAAGAGAAAATATTTAAAGCTATTTAAAGTGACAAAGATTTGCATTACTATGATGTAAAAAGAAAGAAAAATGGATCACAAAGTTTTCCAAGCAAAAATATTTAAATCTACGCGAAGCTAACAAGTCTTACCTGTTCAGTAGTCGTATGACCAGTATCAGCGTGACTTGTACGTAATAACATGTGAGAATCATTGTGACTTAAGGGTAAACATTTGCTACTATCCTCGTCACTTGTAGGAACAGTCACGCCCGGATCGTTACCAGTGATCCCGAACAAATGATCATCGGTTTGGAAGGCTGGTTCTGGAATATCAAAGGAATGATTGTCATGCGGTGGCGCCACGTCTATAGATGATTGAATGGTGTAAGTTTTAGAACGTTCTGTTGCTTCTACGCTGTCGTTAACTTTAACGCTGTCAAAGTCATACAAAAGCTCTACATTCGTGTTTTCTATTTCTCTCCTGAACACAGGACGTTGCGATGAATGAAGTTGGTTATCTACAACTGGTGATTCAGGATCAGGAACTCCAATGTTTGTTTTTCTTGAATGTCTCAACGGTTTCCTTGCTGCCAACTGACCCCTGCCCGCAGATGAACGTTGTTTTTCTGCAACACCGCTGAAAAGCTGAGCGGCCAGTTGCTGTGTGCGAACCTCGTCTTCAAGCGACATAGCAGAACTAGTACTAGCCTAGTACAAAAAACAAACGCCAAAACAACATGATTAATAGGGGAAAATAACTAGTGGTTGGTAGCTAGGTTATTTTTTCTTTAACCTCATTGGGCTTATTAGTCGCTGTAGACCTTCTCAGGAGATTTGTCCCTTTGTCTTGTTTGAAATCAAGGGTAAGCACGAGCATAAATATGTATAAATAAGAAAACGACAGACTCGTTGAGTACTGTCACGTGATCTTAATCGATGAGCTGAAAATTCAGTGAAAGTGGCCAGGTTTATAGCCATCTAGCTCTCTGCATTTGCTGCTAAGCCCTTTTCCAAACTATTAGTCCAAACCCCCTAGAAGCCTTGACGAGGAGCGAGGGATTTACAACATCACAATCTTCTCTACTATATACGCCAAAATGATTGAGCTGAACAATAAAACAGCCCATAGAACTCACAATAACACGGTTTCCTGGTTTATTCCGCTCCAATCTAACTCACAAAACTCTCACCAAACTCGATGAAAAAACCTCGAAGGAAAACTCGCGCTCACTTTTCTTTTTTCGTCTCGTCCAGTCCTAGCTTACTCAGCTCGCACGTGCTCATTACCTTATTTGGTAGTGCTACTCAACGTCACACAACTGTGAGAGGTAGGGTTGGTAAATCCCTCGTACAATGATTGCTATGTAAAGAAACTTAGTTTTGATCGTTCCTTACCTTAGCACTTGTTTTCACCACTACATTATCAGATTCAGTGCTTCGTGACGACGAATCCGATTTACTGTTAGAATCCACCGACTCAGACCGTACTTGATATTTTGCATATCCGCTAGGTCCCCACACGGCCTGACCTGAAAACAGTCTTTTACTAGACGCAGGTTCATCAATGGTTTTTTTCTTGTTTTTCTTGTTTTTCTTGCTGACTTTGGGTTCGCTATCACTAGTATTATCGACAGATCTGCTACTTTTCTTTTCCACTTCAGGCTTTATTTCTGGTTGTGGAGAAGGCTTGCTGTTTTTTTCCAAAGGATTTTCGTATGGTCCAAAATTCAGAGCTGGATGGGAATCGGGAAGTTCTGCAAAGAAGGAAACGATTACGTGTATCACAAGAAGTAAAATGCTGAATCAGTCACTGAACCAACCGAAATTGAGGCAAAGAAAAGACACCACCTTCAATGGATCGAAGGTTATAACGATAATAAAAATAATAAAGATAATATCATAGGTGACGAATTACTCCTGAATTTTGGCGCGAAATTTCAGCGTTAATTTGTAATTTCACAATTGCCATGGCAATCTTCCGTACGTCTCAGTGTCAAGATGGCGACGAAGTTTTAAAATGCCATGAATGACGATGTCATGGCACAAAAAGACGCTTCAGAAAACCTGAACAAACAAGAGAACATCAGGAAGGATTCTAACTGGTATTTTGCCGAAATACTCTGAAAAATTCTAAACTTTATAAGCCAAATTTAAGGTCTAAACATTTGTGAGAGTGGAGTTCTCGATCGATACGATCCAGGATAAACATGACAAAAATCCAAGATTGCTAACGTAATTCGTCACCCATGATATTAATAGGTAATCAAATGGTATACTCGTGAAATTAGGGAATAATTTCGCGTTTTGTCCAAATCCTAATAATTTCCCGAGCCTAAAGGCTCGAGAAATTATTGGGAACCTAAAGGGCTTAAAGAGCCTATTGGGAACCTAAAGGGCCTTAAGAGCCTAAAGGCTCGGGAAATTATTGGGATTTGGACAAAACGCAAGTGAAATTATTCCCTAATTTCACTCGTCACCATTTGATTACACATACTAATTTCTTTTTCCCCTCAACTATAATGCAAGCGGAAAAGATTTATTAATTCCAATATTACACAGCAAATAATACGTACTCACCTTTGGTCTTGTTTTCAATGCTTCGCTCACTCATTGGTTTATAAGGGGAACTTCCATTTGACAGCGCCTCTGCTACTAAGCCATCCAGAAAAGACAAAGATTCGTCCACCTTGAAGGAAAACATGATTCACGCACAGCAAACAGGTTATGTTAGAACACTAGACTTATCAACTCCACTCACACCCTACCCCAGCTCAAAATAGTTGAACCTCCAACACACTCTCCATCAGGGCCACTTTTATTGTTTCAGCGGAAACAGTTACCAACATCATCTTCCTGCAATGTTCAGCTGTAATTTTGCGACCCTATTTTAGTCGAGGCACCAAAAGTACCTACAATATCCCAGTCTGATTATGTACCAAAAACTCCGTTTTTCATACCAATCAGCAATCCCCTGATTTCCACTCCGTACTGAAACTGCTTGAAAACCCGCCCACCCATCTCAGCGGTGCAATAGTACATATCTTTACTCTATGGCTGAATCCCCGGGCATGCAAGATGAAGCAAATCCTGTATTTTGATTGGTGGCTACCCGATCGGGCAAAATGAGCCTATCTTTCAATCACTTGACTGAACTAACCTCCAGATCTTCACAACAGCCATCTATAGGAAGAACACTTTGCCAAAGGAACGTGTTCTGAGAGAGTTCCTGGATTTCTGAACAACGCTGCAGATAGTTAAAGAAAGGGAACACCGTAAGAAACAACATTATTCCACAGTTTCCACAGTTTAACTGCATTGTAAAGGAACAATCGCTTCATGCTATTGGCACGTGGAATAGGGAGGTGATAAGAGACCTTGTATCATGAAACTTGTGGTATTTCAAAGGTAACAGTTTCTCAGTGAGGTAATCCGGTGCACATCCATCCAAGATTTTGTTGAGCAGAAGCAGTCTTCTTTCAATGCAGATTTGATTAATGGGTAGCCACCCAAGTTCCAGAAATAGCGGCAGGATTCTAGCCTGAAACGGAGCATCTAGTATAACACGAGCACACCTTTTTTGAACTTTAAAAATCTCATCCAATAATCCTGCATTACAACTTCCCCAAACGGAAACACAGTACTCAAGAATAGGCTTAATACTAGCATTAAATAATTTTTTTCCTGAGATTAGCTATGTGGGATGACCAAGATAGGGAGGGGTCGTAATCCAGTCCCACGAGACGTTCCTCTTGAGTTTGCTCCAGCTGCCTATCATCCAAACACAGCCTTCTTTTGTGAAAAAGAAATACAATGAAGCTTTCCGGGGTGACTATTATTTGAGAATACGCAAAGAAACTCTAAGCCAAATCTCGTACCCATGGTCTTTTTCGTCCTAGAATCTAAAGGTCCCTTTTCCTGTTTAACAACAAACATAATGCATTATAAAATATGCCCATTGTTCACTTTCTTACCTGTCTGAGCTCAACATCCACGCCCCTCACGTGTTTTTCTAACACATCTCTCGTGCTCTCCAAGAGTTGCCCCATCTGAGAAGTCACTTTTCCAATAGCACTCACGACCCAGGGCTTGGTACTGGGATCTGCAAGTTGAAGCCACCCTACGGTTACAATCTTAAGAGAAGGGTAATGACAAGAGAGGATAAAAAACAACAACAACAACAATGCAATACACGTGCAATGAAAGTGAGGACGTAACGGAGAATTTGCCCAGGTATGTGACAGAACTGAACGACTTTTCTTATATTAAAACATCGTATGTGCGTTTCTTTATCACACCGATGGGCATAAGCTAAGTTTTTGTAGCGTTGAGTCTCGGTAAACTAGGAATACGAGACGAAACTGGAATACGACTGTGCCTCTTCAGTATGCGGTCTCGACTGCTCCTTCTACTGGTCAAACACTCTTATCCGCCTCCATGTTCTCTGTTATTTATGCAACAAACAAATGCTAAAAATAGCCCACGTGCAGACGTCTCCTATACTTTTGTTGCCCAAGGAGTAACAAAAAAAGGAGACGTCTGCACGCACGTAGGCTATGATGAAAACGAAAACGGTGTACTGTAAGTCCGTGTGAATGGATCTACAACCAAAGCCCGACTTCTTGAATTTTAGGGAGTCATATCAAGCATTCATTTGATTTGAAGCAAGTTCGTTTTCGATGTTACCTTCAAATTTCCTTTCCATCAAAGAAAACAATTCTTGAAGAATGACTTGAGGGTCCAGTTCCGAGAGCGTGTATGAATATTCACCTAGGACCTTTAAATAAGAAAGCAAAAATCGGTCTTTGAATTAAACGGCGAAGGAAATTCTGTCATCACTTTGTCTTTTCATTACAAAGTATTCCTTCTGAAAACTAAAAGTTATTTATTACTATATTGGCAACAGTGGCGGCATCCAATCACGTCAACCCGTCGGATCTTCGATTTTTCGCCTTAAAGTGACCATAATTACGTTTATTTGATCATACTATATCCAACAGTTGATTTTATTTTCTGTTATTTTCTGTTTTTTGTTGCGACGCGCATCAGTGAAATGAAGGAAACACGAGAAGAAGTGTTTATTTTTCCACCCTAGACCAAAAACGAAGTACAAACTATACGTTTAAATAACCAACTTCGACCTATCTGTATATCGAATAAAACACTCTCCTTTTCATGTCTATTTGATATGCATCTGAGTGATTGATTATTTCCGAGGCTGTGCTCTAACAAAAATTGGAGGGAGCTGGGCAGCGATCTGAACTTGTGAAATCCAGGGTGCCCAGCACATGACTTTTATGAAAAAAACAAAAACAAAAACAAAAACAAAAACAAAAAAACAAAAAAACAAAATTTTCTAGTCGCCCAGGAGCAGAAGGTACACGCAACGGGCCACCACGCGCTGCATGAGCACAACCTTAATTTCTTTTTAATATATTCAGAGTAAAATTTCGCCTTTGGGATTACTGTCAGTGGTTACTGTTGAACTTTGTAAGGCAATAAAGTAGTTCACTGAAAACTCACCCAGCAAATTACTTGTATCAGAATGTCTGGCAAAACAGGTTTTTCAAGTAGATCTATGTAGGAATTAACAGCAAATCGACGTAGGTCGAAATCTGCATCTTCGTCCTCAGTTCCTGTTGATGAAAGAATGATTCAATGCAATGTAGCCTGTTCCAGGCTCCAAGATAGGAGGGAAAGCGGATCGACAAAAGGTGAGCGAGACCCGCGTGGGGACTGGGGAGAGACCGGGAAGTGGAGCCTGAAGGCATTGTCTTCAATACCTCATTCCGGTATACCAGCTCCTGATATACCCTACGATTGGTCAATTACTTCACCTATTTTGTCCACAATGACCTAGCTTCGCGTGCGCAAAATCAAACAAACATGGCGAGCGTGTGAAACTCCCCTACATTGCACATTCATTTTGACACAAGAAAGAATTATTTCTCAGCATTCGGGCAGTTCACTACTTCAAATGCAACACAACACATGGCATAGATAGCGGGGCTTTTATTCATGTAAATTAGTTGAATGGGTGCACTCATTTTGTAGGTAAAGCCAATCACTTAAGTCGTGACCACAACTAACCTTCAGCTAAAAGTCGCATCATGTTATGAGCCACAGCATCTCGTACAAGTGATCCACCCAGTTCAAACACCTCATTCATTGTCACAATGTACCACGAATTATCTGGAGCATATTTGACAACAAGTTAAGGATAATTATACCGTAAGATATTGCTGATAGAACAATAATACGCAGAATCATTGGCATTCAGTTTCACCAAGTCGGATTCAAGATCATTCTCGGGTACAGAAACTGACGTATGTTTGTCACGCAATCTCGACTCAAGAGTAACGTTTCCATCAACCACTTTTCGATAGCAAGGCGGGCAAACTTGAAATGACAGGCCAATTGCAAAGAAATCGGTTGTTCATGTACGACGCTCACTAGTACCTGAACAGTGAAAATGTAATAAGGAATCATGGGTGGCAGGGAAAGTTTATGTGCAACTACCATCTTTTACAAAGTGAAATATTTCTGCATGTTTTAAAGGATATCTCTCAGAAAGTTCCGTGATCCTGTCAACCAACTCTGTTTTAAAATGTACATCGGCATCCGTTGTTAACTTCAGGTATGCCAACAACTTCTCACAAACTGTTTCCACGTTTGAGGCATTTGTTATGTGGCAAAGAAGATCCAATGTCTGCAAAGAGATTACAAAAAGGTGTATCAAGTACACTAAGTGCTCGCAAGTTATCGTTATCATTATCTTAGTATTAAAAATGTACTCGACATTTCTCTCTCGGATACCCGCGGTTTCCTATCACATCTCTTTTCTTCTTTTTTGGCCTGCGTAGCAAGCGCTTGGAAGTAGTGGGCGAAAGAGAGAACGGGCGCACGCGAGGGAGACACGCGAGGGGTACCTCTCCCCTCGCGTGTCTCCTTCTCGCGCGCCCGTTGTTTTTTTGTGCCCACTACTTCCAAGCACCTGCTACGCAGGCTACTTCTTTTTGAGAGACATGAATCAATTACTGCCCACCTACCCCTCCCCTAAGCCTACATTATCACTGACTTCTCACTTAGCGCAAAATGTTGGCTTAGGGGAGGGGTAGGTGGTCAGGGACCCGTCTTTACTGGGCCAGACTACAAGATATATATTTAACAATTAATGAATGAGGCTCAGTAGATATGAAGAATTATGCAGATCGAGGAGGGTGTAGGGTCTCAGATAGTGGGGAAGACGCGAAAGTGTAGGGCGTGCGAAAACTTTCTCAATTCCGCGGGCCATACTATCTCGGAGCCTGGAACAGGCTAGATAACACCCTCCGAGATCTGCAACACACCCCAGGTCTTCTCGGTTAACGGTGCATTAAACTGCAACCGTGCTGCACTTTTGACGTCATCATTTTGACGTCAATTCTTGGGTTGCACGTGACGTCACCAAAAATCAAACTAAGAAACTATCGATTCTTCTGAGTTTCTACTTTCACGAGGTATTACAGTACCTAAACACCTTTACATAAACAAATTTTTGGTTCGAAAGGGTTCTTCGTTTTGCAAGAGAGGACGCTTGAATTTCCAGGCTTTTGCGTGACACGGCATTTAGCTGGCGGCCTGGAAAGCTCTTATGTGGGTTAAAAACATTACCGATTTTGGGAGATTTTGCAATCTACACATTCCTTGTCTCAGAATAAATATTACTGTAATCTTTGTGAGTTCCTCAAGCGAAGAATTCATGCATTAGTAGGAAAACTCGAAAACAGATGTTTCTGTTGGTATCCGGCGGCCATATTGGTGTTCATGAAAGGGACACCAACATGGCGTTTCCATACAAAGCTTTATAAATTCAGGTAAACCGTTTTTCCCAATATCTCGCATTCGAAATATTTCACAGACCTGATTCTTGGCAAGGGTTTTTGTATATTTATGTTTTTTCAGTTCCCAGATTCTAGTCCCTCTATATTGAATGGTTTGCATTTTTATTTTTCATTGCGTGACAGTGCAAGCCGAGAATTAATCGCAAAATTCTTCCAAATTTGGTCAACAGTAGCTGGTTATGGTGAATTCTGCATATGCTTTTAGCCAATCAGAAACGGAGAAATATTTTGAATGAATAATAATAATAATAAATATTTTAAGAAAGCTACTATTTGTTTAAAATAAGAATGAGTGCTACGCCTTGACAGATGGGGGGCTACACTCTTCCGGATTTCACGGCGCTGTCGCAGTTCGGTTTTGCAAATGTAAACCATAAACCTCGGGAACATAGAATACAGAATATAGAAACACTGTGACAAAATTGAACGCAAGATGACCAAAACAACATAATCAACTCAGTTGAGAAATTAAATTTTGGCATTTTTCACCTTCACCACAGTCTCTCTAGACACTAAACCCTTTATTCACAAAATAAATAGCCCACATACCTTTTTCCTGAGTGTCTCGTCGGGATCATTCAGACAGTCGATAATGACTCTTTGATACGCTGGTTCCAAAACAAATCCACTGCCCACTTGTAGCAGAGATGTCAGTGTCTTTATCCCTGTGTAAAGCAAACTCAGTTAACCCTTTAAACCCTAAGTTAATCAGCATCAAATTTAAACCATGCTTTGTAAAACAGAGTGGTAATGATCAGGCATGATCAAATTTTGATATTTTATCAACTTCTCCCCACTAATTCAAATTTTCATCCTAGGGTTGAAAGGGTTAAACAGCCTCATATTGATTTAAAATTACAAAGACCACAGACTCGTTCACCGAAACGATAAGAGAATTTTATTTAACGGCATGATCATTACTGGTCACCCAGGTTTTCATAATGGCCCTCCTGATTATTTAATTAACTACCAATATAATCTACCAACTAAAATTACATAATAAACTACTATTAATACAATATTGATTAATTGACTACTAATGAAACTAAAAGGAATCTTAAAATGATCAAGAGAAGAAATCAAACTAAAAGTTTAAATAAGAATTTTTAAATTTTATGGGAGAGTCCTTAGGGTCAAGAGCGTTCCAAAACGGGTTAAAAACGTTCGAAGGCCATAGTTCCTTTTACAAGCTGGTGTTGTAAATTGTTATTGGAAACGGATCCACATTATGACTCGTTCAATATATTTATTAAAATAAGAGAGATTTAAAGCATATGTACTAATTCAACTATCAAAATGATATAGAGATCAAACGAAATTCAACTATCAAAATCGTTGGTTCCGAGTGGTTGGTTCCGAGACTGAAGGCAATACTAACTGAAGTATGGCCAGCCTGCAAATACAGCCGCCTCTTATCACACCCCAAGTCTCTCGCGAAACGTCCCCTGTAATCGGTAGCCATGAAAGGCGGCTGTATTTAAAGTTTCGCCCAAACGTCGTTTCGTCTACAAGTCGATTTGCCTACACTGAGGTCGATTCGCAATGTGATTTCAGTTGCTTCGCCTACACATTTCAGAATGTCAGCTTCACTTCACACACTTCACTGTACAATGTTTAGGCTGGGTGTAAACTTTAGTGTAGGAGAAAAAGCTTAAATCGTGTAGACGAATCGACTTGTATGCAGAACGAGCGATTGCCAAGTATACAGTATAGCCCGGCCCCTCCGTACACATGAAACCAAAATGTCCACCCGTACTGGTAAGCGCTCGATCCTTTCGATATTATGAAAAAATAGAGGACTGGAACAATCTAGACTTACCCATGTATCTGATGTCATTAGTTTTGGCCACAAGGAATACCCGAACACACTTTGCAGCTTTATCAATCAAACCTTTGTCAGGATAAATACTGGTTATCGTCCTCAAGCATTCATAAGCCACAGCTACAGCAAATAGAGAGAACGCCAAGAAACATGGAAGTTTTAGCAAAAAAGTAGAATCACGATTTTTTTAAATTAAAATGTGTAGTTACATCTCACGTGCATTAGATTTTTCTTTCCGTACAAGTCGTGCAACAACTCAAAGAGACGTTTTGGGTAGAAGTGTACCACTGAGGCCTTCAAACCCAGAAGAAACCTTACTTTTAATAGGACCATGAAGTAATTTTTTAATGAAACATCAAGATTTTTTGGAAAAAAATTGGAACCACAAAATGTAGACCAGCCACCCCCAGCCTTAACATTCCTTGATTCGATGAAGTAATTTTTTAATGTAACATCAAGATTTTTTGGACAATAAAAAAAAACTGGAACCACAAAATGTAGACCAGCCACACCCAACCTTTACATTCTCTTCAAAGGGCTTCGGTCCAGAAAGATACCCTGGTCAAGACGTTTAAACCTGTTTAACCTGTTTAAAGCACAAGACCCTGAAAACCATACCCTGTCCAGGTTGAAAAAGAGATCGAGGTTTAACGAGAACAGTTTGGAGCATTGAAAATTTTAATTAATGACCTTAAACATTGGGTTGCAACTAATCAACAATTAAACTACAGACTGAGAGGATTAAAGTTTTTTCAACTCAAAGATAGCATGCAATCTATGCACTTAGGACTGAACTATATTTTTAGTTGAGAGTCAGTAGTTGTCCACAATGTTGTAAACTCCGATGACATTCCAATCACAGTAAAGAGGTCGTTTAACTTGAGATGGGGAAAACTTACCATAACTGATAGGGGAGCTGGTGTTTAGATTTGACAAAGTCTTTCCTAGTATCGCATACATTTGCTTGCTAGCTCTGCAAAATATAAAGTTGCAGTATTATAATTAAGGTCACGAGAAAGATTCGAATCCTTCTGCTGTCTGCGCTGCAGACATGTAGTCTTTACATTTTATCCGCGAGCTCCACTATCGAACGCGCTAATGGAACAGGCTACTTTATTGCTATGGCTAGCTGCGCGAGCGGGCAAGATGAAGCGAACCCTGACTCTAATTGATTAACCGAGCGAGCAAGAAAAGAAATAGAACAAATCATTTTTGCCTAAGCTTCTTTGGTCACTGCGCACATTTTACCTTTCATGATTTGTGTAATTTGCTATTCCCTTTTCCTTCCTGCTCTTGCAAAACAAAAAAAACAAACAATCTGCAATCTTTATCTGAATCTTGTTCGGTTGAATGTTGGCCTTGTTGTTCTTTACTGTTTTGTTTTTTGTTGTTCTTGATGTTGTTGCTGATGCTATTATTACTTTGATTTTGTTGTTGCTGTTTTTAGCGTTTTTTATGAACATTGATGAAAAACGCAAAAAGGCCCTTCGGCCAATATCCAGCCTCCTTGACCTCACGCTTGCCCAATTATAGCACATTTTTATTCACCAATTGTCTATGGGGGACACAGTTGTTACCACTGGAGAAGTTCTACAGGCGTCCCAAGCTCACGTTACGATAGTGGAATGTAATTCACATTTTGGGACTAGTTGGTATCGCGTGACAGTCCACCGTTTGAGATGTTGCATGAGAAATAAAATACATACAATCCATTCATAAGACGAATATGGGTGGAGTTACAGGGGTCACACATTAAAGCCAAAAAGTCAGTTAAATGAATAAATTCAGACCAGAACACACAGGAAAACATCACAGGTAAGTCTTCTTTGTTCAATTTATAAAAACAAATGTTAAATTTATCGATATTTAGCGCTCGCAGATCTCAGTATTTTATTTCTCATACATGTGAACGTCTCAAAGATAGCCTGTAGCGCGATACCGACTCGCTCGTGTCACAGAAAGCGAATTCCATTCTATCTCGTAATGGGAGCTTGGGATGCCTGTGGTTCTACAAAGACCACTGGGGTTTCTTGTTGACTCACTTTTCGTTATCTGCTCCTAACAATCCCAGTATCTTTAAAATTTTAATTTGTATCCAAGGTGCTGCCACTCCATGATAGTCGTAGTCAGTTGCCACTTTGCCCTCTAAGATTATCTTTTGAAGACTTACAAAAGATGAGGCCAAGGACTTGAATTTAGTTGGATTTTCCTGTCAATACAAAACGACACGAACACCGGCAAGCACTATACATATACATATCCACCTCCAATTTATATTATTTCCTAAAGTATGACTGCTTTATTCCATGAGTTCCAAACTGACATTATGGGCACTATAGGGTGTATTTTACTTTGCAATAACTGTGGCAAAATTTGCCCCAGACAATAAAATCCCACCCAATCCAACAGGAAGATAACTGTAGTGAGACTGATTCATTCATCCCATTGAAGAAAAGTTGAAATTTATCTGTATTTTAAGTTCACAAAACACAACATTTTGAAACAATTACTCCCCATATAACGTCTTGTAACGTCTAAGTTCATTTCAATGACTGAAACAGGTACAGTTACTTCTGATAAGCTGAAAAGAAAGCGTTTTTGTGACAAACTTGACATTAAATTTTGATCGTAGTAGCACTTTAAACATGATCATTGCTAACATGACAATACCACCCTTTCACGGTTATTTTTTCAACTTGTGACAAGGATCGGTTTACAAAAAAACCGTGACCACAGCTAAAGGAGCGTATAAAAATGGGAAAATCGCCAAGTTTCGGAGTGATATCTTAAAAACTAACGAAGATACAACTCCACAATGTCACGAACTGAAGGGAGGGTTCAAACTTGGACCCCACAATACGTTTGTAAAATTTCGCAACTTTCTTATTTTATCCATTCTTAACCCTGACAGTGCGAGTACTGTAGCTGGGGCCACAGACAAAGTTGACCAATCGTATAACAGAAAAATACATTCCGAGAAAGTTGGTTGAGGGCCAATCAGCAGCTCGTAAAAAACAATGAGTTACTCGAAGCACAAAATTTAAATATCAAGAGAAAACGTTTTTCAAGAAAGCAAAATGTTTTACCAGACAATGTTTTTCTATTCGAAACATTACATACAACACAAGCTTGTATTTTGTCATCTAACAGCAGTTTCTCTGCTACATTGCCGCGCTTTGCAATAACATGCTACCTCAAGCCAAAAATGTAACAAACGTCTACGTTTTTCGCCTCAGTCTGTCATTCACTCTAACAGACCTCTCAGGAAACACAGACTTTCTTCACCGGGTTCAAAAGATCACGTCTGTAGGTTGTAATTGGCCGATTTCAATCCATGTTGTTGGTTTCGTTTCGTCGTAATTATGATTGACAACTAATTTTCTCGGAATGTATTGTTATTTTCCCGCAATCCGATTGGTCAACTTTGACTAGGTCTGTCATAGCATACAATATTTGAGACGAAAAAAAATATTAGCCTTTCTCTTGATGCAGCATTCGCCTGCACAGCTGTATCTGTGTTTTGAAGTGGGCGAAATAAAATTAGAGCAATCAATGTTGCCAGCAGTTCTTTTTACCTTTATCAGTTCAAAGAATAACTGCAGAGATGCTATCATAACACCAGGGTCTTTATCACGAACTGCCTTTGTTACAAGGTTTACCACATCAGGAATAGCTGATGGATCCTTCATATAAAAACTGTGTAGTGCCATAACTGCCTTCTTACGCACAATATCCCTGATAAAAACACACCATGTTGACAAACGTATCGTCATGTACAACTACATACCGTACATAAAAGTACTACAACAAAACAGGGAGGTAAAAATGATATAAGTTAAAATTTTTGTTCTCATTTAATAATACATACTAGCAATAACAAAAGGTTACCGAGTGCGGGCGACAACGATCGGTAACCCTGCGATCAGGCGTTTTTTACGCTTTTGCTCCATCGCTGCGCTTTGCGTAAGTTTCACGTAACAGATAGTCAACACGCGTGATTAGATTACGAGTGATAGGATGTCCAAAGGCGCGCGATCAAATTGCGTTCTGTGCATACCATTCATTCTTAGTGGAAGTCCAAACGAATGCTGGCTACATACACGAGACGCATGCGTAATAACAACCTGGAGATTAGGATTGAGGGCTCCTCTTGTCGCCCACAATGATAATAAAAAGAACAGATGAAATAATTTTAAGAAAAACCTTAATGTAAACATCACAAAATTTTCACCAGCTACATGTGTTCAGGTAATCATAGATACGCATACACATAGTTATTACATGTACCTAGAGAAGCAGACTGCATTAAACTAGCACGTGGTCTTGGACTCCATGAGTCTTTTTACATAACTGTATCGCTAAGATTTCAAGTTGCCAGGTAAATACAACAAGTAGGCGAGAAATAAAACAGATAGGGATTTCTTTGGTTTTATTTTTTTTTTCTGTTTTCTGGAGAAAGTTGGCGGGGGCCAGGTTCATAGTAGCCGGGGGAAATCACCGGCCCCCGCCTCTTAATAGACAGGGGCACCCAACGAGAATATAGTTCAAAACCACTTAAACGTAGCATTGTTGAACGTATTTTAGTATTTAAACGGTAGATATAGCCATATTTTCATCCCCTAAAAATTTTTTATCTGTTCGGATTTCCTAGCTGAAAGTCTAGTGATCCGAAAATTATAGGAATCAAAACTTACCTTTTCGAAAATTTCAGCCAGAAAAAAGGCTCCCGAAAAATCTAGGTGACCTTTTTAGGGTAAAAATCCGTTAAAAATGGGCAATTATACCATTTTGGGGGGGTCCGAAAATCCTAGGAGAGGCGGGCAAGCAAGAAATTTAACAACAAATGTGCCGAAATTCTAGATCTCAAATCGTCTTCCGAACAGATATTTTACGAAAATTGTCGTTGGGTGCCCCTGAATAGAGACGGTTAAGCATCACGTTTGCGTCAATTGGCAAACGCGAATTTTTACCACGTGACCAAATTTCCCCGTTACTTGCAACCTCCTCCCCAGGGCTTTTCCCTCCCTGGGGACGAGGTTGCGTTACTTGTCGTTTACTGTTCATTACTTCTACTCATAAATTAGTAGTTTCACGCAATTTTCTCCACAAGAATTGTTTTGAGCTGTTTTTATCTGCTCATTTTCTATTTTGAGAAAATCTCAACTTGACTCTGACGTTTGCTGTATACTAGAAGCTTAAACTGTCTAATGACCGCCCTGACATATCTCAGTGAATAGTGCACAAGCTCAAAATGAGGAAGGTCATTTAAATCCCACCTAAAGAGCTCATGACTGAGAACATGCTGATTTTCGTATCTTTCGCAGACGCTTAACCATCACATGATACATGAGTAATTAGCCTTTGTAGCCAGCAGGATTAGCGGGCAAGTGCGGTTTTTTTGGCAGCGGAGTGGCAAAAAATCCCTTCATCACAACCCTGTCAGCAACACAGACTACATGATAATGACAGTTTCCTGTATCATCATTATTTCTATTTTGCCAATGCTAGTTGACTTTAATTATGTTTAAGATCATTTTAATTGGACTAGTAATCGATTAATGATTGCTTGCTTAACAATTGACCGATTGATGGACTAGATGATTGATTTTCATTCACTCTTTCATTCAGTTACTGACAGAACCCAGCAAAATATTAGTAAAAAGAAGTTATGCCTGACCAACCTTTTAGACTGAAGTAATTCCAAAACTTTTGGTAGTATTGCAGGCATCATTTCCTTATTGATCAACTTGCAAACAACAGTCAGAGCAAAGCAAACCTCTAAGACATTAGTACTACAAAGATCCTGATAAAAAATGGAAAATTGATTTTACTAACTAGCTTTACTAGGATAAATAATAATTATTCCTTGACACATTGCCCTATATTTTTCGTTAAGAATGTCGAGATCAGGTGTTTACCCCTGTGGGCAGCCATGTTGGTTTCAAATGTACAGGGTATAGCCTGGGATAAGTATGAGAGAGCAGGGAGTAGTTTGGGAGAAGGTGAAAGTGAAGAAGAGCTCCCCTAAAAGTCTGTCGGCCAATTGTTGTACATGTACATGTACTGTTATTACAAGAAAGGCAACGTTTATCTCAAAGTTCACTTCTTTGAGGTCTTTTCCAGCATGCACCCTTTTGCTTTTAATTTTTTTTTCAGGCTGATTGAAGTATTCAACCCAGACACAAAATGTTCTTAACATTGAACATGTCAGATTTAAAATGACACAAACCTTTTGAAGGGTGTTAATCAGCAACACAATAAGTTCATGATCCTCACTCAGAAATAGTGATGATACCAAATAACCTAAAAAAAATTAAAGGAAATTTATAAGAGAGAATACATCATGTATGTGACTTTTTCCACAATGCTTTGCACATGAAATATTACATGCAGTTCTTGGTATAAAGAAGTTTGCATATACTGATCAGTGCTACTGAAGTAGCATCAGTTCTGTGTAATTAATTATTATGATCTAGACAAAACAAAATATGCACAACTATAATTATCTAAATGCACAGTCAAACCTTTAATAATAATAATAATAATAATATTTACTGCTTTTATTGCGCATTTTAACATTAAAAGATACGATCATGATTTATGTGTGAAACCTCTCTTAACCCTTTAAGTCCCAATATCAACATACAAATTCTCCAAACTGATCTCCATACATTTCCTTTAAGAGTCAGTTGAGAGAATTTAATAACAGATCAAGGTATTTTCTCTTTGGTGATAATTTGTTAATTCTCATAATTATCTCTTGACAATTACTGGATTTTGTTAAGAGAAAATTGATGTTGGTCACTATCGGGACTTAAAGGGTTAAGTGAACAACTCCCATGACCAAATAGTCAAGACAAAATACTAAGGAAATATTTCCTTTTCCACGCTCTGTAGTTGGAACATCTCATAACCTGTCATAGCTAGCAACCAACCACAATCAATTTTTCAATAAACCTCTTGCAAGCGACCACTTGACATAATTATGCTTTGATATCTAAGTACATGTATGTTCATTGTCTGAACTATGCTATACTCACTCAAAGTACACTCACTGTATTGAGGGACCTTCAGTTACAACAGCAGACTTGCCAAGTCTCACGACTTTGTCATATATGTATGAGTCTCACAATTTCACGACCTACCTCACCCCATCATGAGTTGACAACTGATTTCTCACACTTTTTTGAAAGTCACACTCCAAATATTTTTGGACTATTTCTAGAATTCATTTCAGTATAAGGTAGCAAGCAAACTCTATCTAAAGAAAATGCCTAACAGGAGCATTTGATTAGAAAATGTGTGAGTTGCCAACTCGGTACACTATCTACGTCATGTTTACTAATCCTGATGGATATGGGACTTCCTCATGTAAAACCCAAAATCACTGCTAAAGGCCTTCCGCGAGGAAATTTGGGACATCTCACAACTATTTCCAAGTTCTCACTACTTTTTCCACCTCTACGTGTAAGGTTCATAACCTTAAGATTTTTTTTGCCTCTTGGAGGAATGGCAAGTCTGCAACAAAGCACTGCAAGTCTTGAACAACAGGATTGAATGCAATAGATTATTATAATTTTAATTCTCTTTGAATACATTTTTGTTGTAAACATGCTGATGTTTCAAACCTGTTCCCACTGGAGAAACCCTGTGTTTTTAAACAACTGGCTGTCCAGTAAGCAACCACTAACCTGTGACCTTTTGGGAGCTGGTCGCTTACAGAAGTTTGATTATGAGAGTAAAGCATACCACACAGTGAGCACTACAAATAATTAATTGAAATAAAGTCAACTCTCTCACAGTAATCACTTCTTGTCTCATAAGCGACCTGAGCTTGAAAATAACCGATAAGTTTCTCAGTAAAACACTTTTTCAAAAGCTCTCTCATATGAGACCACTAATAAAATTTGTAAATGACCACAACCACTTTTTGAACCAGAAATTTGACATAGTGGAACCTCTGTCGATAACTCAAAGTAAATTTCTTTTCCCTTGATCAACATTTCATGGAAATTAATTTTACCCTGATAACTCAAATTCCCCACTAACACAAACTGCTTTTCATTTCCCTCCACAGTTCCAGTTACTGGGATTCTGCTGTATTCTCTTGTTTTCTGTTTTCCAGTGACCACCCAGATGATCACGTATAATAATATTACTACAAAGCCCTTGAATGTCACAAAAGTTCTGTTTTTGATAGCTCTGACCAAGCATGCCGACAGATTATAGCAGCTGACTTGCACAAACGATGACTGTAATAATATCTATGGGTAAAAAGTGGATTGTTTCAACAGTTCCAAGCACTATTCGACGTATATAAGATTTAATTCCCAATAATAATGTCTTTTTGCCTAAGTTTTAGCCTTTAAGGTTACTTTATGAAATTACATGTTTATATTATGTTAATAAGTTCAGTTTGAGCATGTACTTTCTTGATTTTTCCTGTAGATGACCACCTCCCATAAGCGACCACTTTGTCGTGCACCAAGGGTGGTTGCTTACGAGAAGGTTGACTGTACTTTCAAATCACTTAAGAATTGCATCAACCTAAGTACATAAGACTTGCCAAGTCGCAACTTCTCAAAGTAAAGAAAGTAAAATTATGCAATCTACATGCATGTACAATATGTAAAGAAATGCCTCACAGTCTAAATGAGCAGACTCACCATTAAAATAAAAACCTAAATCTTTCATTTCAAGACAGCCACCAACAAAGTAGTGATACAGATGTCAGCAGCAACAAAGAAAATTGATTGTGATTCTTACTGTTCCAGCTTTAAAATGATATGTGACCTCTAGAAATCTGATAACTAAAATCCCATGACTTTTTCCCACTTCTCACTACTTTTCAAAGCTATTTGGTTTGCCTCTTGGGGGTTGGCAAGTCATACATTTGAATCTTTGGTGTGACTTTTATGAGACTGATGAACTCACCAACTCGCTTGTCCAGGTTATTTGGCTGTTGTGCAAATTTGACAGCTTCGGCATAACAATCTGATGCACTATGGCCCAACATCTCACAGTAAATTAAACGCACTAAATATTCCCTTATCTGTTTCTAAAAACATAACAAAACATCAATGGTATTAATTACAAAATACATTTAACATTATTATGAAGAAATTTCTTAATGTTACCAACCATAATTATTTCCAACAACCTCGTGTTTTTTAAATAACTTTTCACTGTCAATTCATTTAATTACAGGGTTAAATCTTGTCATGTCTTTATCTCCAGGTTGCTATTACACATGAGTGCAATATATGTAGCCAGAATTCCAATTTCGTTTTGACTTATGTGGAGAATAAGTGGAACATATACATGTAGAACACAATCTGATCATGTGCGTTTCGACCTTCTTTCATTCGTAAGGTGATTAAACACATACATGTATTGATCTATTTCCTAACCCTAACCACTAAACTTTAGTGGCATAGTCCATTTTAGGGTAGTCCTTGGGGTTACTCCATGGACTTGGGGTCAGTGTTTTGTCCACCACCTTTTGTTTGTTTCTATAAATAGGTAGATAACGTTCAGCATTGTGTTGTTTTTGTAAGTTTAAAGAAATGCCTCTTACCGGAGATGTGTCACGTTGGGTCATCTTATCTTTTAACAAACTCAGTTCCCTTTTGGCAATTCTGTCCTCTTCCTTGAATAAAAAAAAAGACAACATGAAATGGACTGTTAGTTTTCTCTTCCCACTCAATGAATCTGATTCAGTAGTCTTAATTATTACCAGAAACCATAAAATTATTATGCACATAATAATGCCTTGGAAAATTTGGGGAGATTTTGCAGGCTAAAATTCATCAACTTCAGATTTTAGAATCTGCCAAAGAGAAGAAAATTTAGTTTTTCACCCCCAGGCCCCAGTTGTTCAAAAGGCAGGTAGTGCTATCCAATGAATAAGTCTCTATCCTGTGGACACCGCAATTGTTTTCCCAAATACTTATCTGCTGGATAAGTATGTGCTATCCAACGTTTGAACAACCAGGGCCAGCTGTTTAATTTAATATATCATAGAACCCTTATAATTCACGCTCTACCAAACGAAATCGTACAGTACAGTGTATTGACGATGTAAATGCGAAGGACATTAATTATTTTGTCGCTCCAATCCCAAGCTTGGGTTACCTGTGCTACCTAAACAGCTGACACTTTTTCAATATCACATAGTTTGCTTTTAACTTACGTAAATGAGATTTTCACCGAACTCTACGGCTTTTAAAGCAAAATTAAGGAGATTTAGATTACAAAAATGCACATGAGTGGTGCGTCAACCTTTCTCTCGGATCGGAGTTTGCTAGCTGTTAAAAGAGAAACCTCAGTTCTGTGTTAACTGTAGATCAGAAAACATAAATTGTAGAAGCTTACATGCTTAGATTTAGCTTCACCGATGGCTCTCACTAAACTCTGAAACCCTCGTGAGCTACACGAGGCTGGTCCGTAGTATCCTGTCATAAAACTGGTTAAAGTCGCCGAGGCTTTAGAAGCCATTTCTGCGTGTTGTCATCTATCCTTCCGCCATTTTGCGTTTTATACCATGCTTGGATCTACCACTGACAAGTATACTGTGGGCGCTTTCCATTCAATAAAAATTTCGGCTATCTCCAGGAGCGAATAGGCGAATCTTTGCTGACGTCATTGTTTACATTTTTCCTCATTAGCATACAACTCAACTCATAGAAGCCGTGGCCGTATGTATGAATTAAATGCAAAAGTCGAAAGAGCTAATAAATTTGGGCAATTTGTGCAATTTTCAGCTCTTTGCGAACAATGTTGAAGGAAATATCAGCCGTCAAAAACTGCGAAATTGCTGTATGGCAAAAAAGTTAATGAGCCATACATTCTCTGTAAAATTTCGAGTTTTTAAAAGAGAATTTCTCCGAAACCATTCGGTGTATTGGGCTCAAATTTTCAGAGATAACTGAAACTGTTATGCCCTTTAAATATTCAGAGTTTTTATTTTATTAGCGTCATCAGAAAGTGAGAAGCATATGTTAATGAGGCAAAAAGTGTAAACAAAGATTCGCCCATAGCCTCGCAGGTTAGGAAGCGAATTGAACAGCATTTTCCAAAATTTCTATAAACAGGGCTACCTCACGAGGCATACCCAAGTTTTCGAAAATCTTTTCCCGGAAGTTTTCTTTCCATTCAACTTTTCTCTCGGAAAATCTAGAATTTTCGGTGGAATTGTTCGCATTTCAGAAATTCAACAGTTTCCGGAATTTCTGGAAACTTTCCGGGAAAATTCTGTACATTTTCGAAAGTTTTGGTTGGATGAAAAGCACCCTGTATCAACTGACCAAGTATATTTGTATTTTTTTCATAAACTGCCAACTCAGAAGTTATTTCAAGGTGCCTGTAAAACAATCTTGTACCCAGAGGAGGCTGAACGCCTCACAAATCTCGGCTGAAAGAAAAAGTGCCGATAAACACTTATTTCATTTCTTATTTTATTTTATTTTATTTTAGTCAACGATAAGGATACTTAAAAACAGCTCAGTGCGCCTCCTGCACCCTCAGTGCTTTCCCGGCTCCAACCCCTTTTTCTCTAGCTTTTTCGATTGCGAAATATTTAAATGCATTTTTTTAAAAATTTCTCTCCTTCTGTCCCCTTTTTAGAACTCTCACCTCCCGCCGAACTTGCCCAGGGTTTTTACCACGAGGGGAAGAATTGTTTTGTTTTGTTTTGTTTATGGAGGTCCGGTAACACGTATAACCCAATGCTGTAACCCGCTGATTAAAAGTGGTATCCGCGAAACTGTCAAAAGCATAACCATTACTGGCTAAACTCTTCGCATTTTATTTCTTCAACTAGCAAACTTTCCCGCGACGGTTCTAAACTCCATAAAGGCGATCCCAATTTTGTCGCTTTGCATAATAATCCTTCCTATGATTATTCAAAACACGAATATATACGACGAAGTACTTCAGTTATCTGTGGTCTGTCAAAAGCCTGTTAATTTTATTTAAACATTTGCATATTTTTGTATCATTTTGGAATGATTGCATTTGAATTAGGAAATCCACTGGCAAGACTTCTAAAATTCAGGAAAATTGTTGAAATTAAAGCATTTCAAAACTCTCTGATTCAAATTCCTTCAAACATTTCCACGAAACAACTATGAAATCCCTTTTTTTTCTTGATCTGTGTTCGCTTTCTTAAATATATGTATTAATCATGTACAACGCCTCGAAATCAGTAGGCGGTTGCTACCTGGCTGTGGAATTGATCTCTACTGAACCTATTCACTGAAAAAGGTATGGTGATTGTAAAATTATAATTTTATATTAAAATTTTGATGTTTTTGAAAATAAGAAAGTTGTTCTCCTTAACTTCCACTTGCTGCCAAATGTATGATAAAGTTATTGTTTCATCGAAAACCTCACTACGACACGGAGACGATCGATGATCCCATGACGTCCTTTTTCCATATCCGCTTCAAGTCCGCACATATCGGATCACTTCATTCTCTCTTTCTTCTAAAGGGCCTTAATTTAAAGGAGTACCGACACAAGAGAGTGGACATACAGTAGTCACTGATAAACTTGTGGCGCTTGCTTTGAGGTCGATCCATTTTAGTGTATGCAGTTTTGGAGTGCATGTGTTTAAAATGGAGGAGAAAAGACATCTCGTATTGTTTCGGCCATTTGCAGCCGTCAGGTGCTCTCAAGTCAGAAATGCCCAAGGCCCTCATAAAGGCTGAATAAGACGTACATCAGTTAGACAGATAAAGCCGGTTTTCTTTGAATTCGCTTTTTGCAATGATCTAAAAAATATTCATTATACTTTTTTGCCTTTTGATATTTTCAGAAAAGAGCGGAGAAAGAAAATTTTGCATCATGCCTGGGAAGAAGTTCCACTGGGCAACAAAGGCAAAACGTCGATTGATGTCATCCTCATGAAATTAGTTACATCTAATGGGAAAAACTACGACAACAGCATTACAATTAAGGAAGACTTGGACAAAAATCAGCCCGTTCGCGTTTGGTAAAGGGAGCTGATTGAAGACCCAAAATTTGCCTAGATCTGATTCGGCAAGAGTAGACCCTATAGTACTCTAATGGAAAATGTCAATAAAACTTCAAATCATTTGTCAAAAAATAAGCTATGTGCAAATAAGAAATCTATAGGTTGATTGTAGGGTCTAGAAACAAGTTTTTATGTCTTGTAACGATTGAAACCGCAAAACATTTAATAGAATCACGTACTGTCGCAGATAAATATGCCAGTACTCGGTCAGTTTTCTGGACACATCCTTCAGCCTCTTACGTTGAAGTTTAGTCTTGACCTCAAACTGAAGATCTCGATGATGTCTTTTGCTTCGGAAACTTTCCATTGCAGTCTACTGTTTCTCTCGTTGTTTACGATCATTTGTCAAACGTTTGCTAAACCATCGCAGGATGTTGCAAATTCGACATCGGTTCCCAAACAAACCCAGCACTGTAACAATGTGTATTTCTACGAAGCGCCAAACAAGGAAATTGCAAAATTGCTGCAAAAAATAACGAAACAACTCACTCAGGTACAAAACGACGTTAATATTCTGAAAGGCAATAAGACTTCTTCAAAAGGTAAAGCATTAACTAGTGTGATTTTTTTAGTTCTCACTAATCGACTACAAATATTCATGTCCTCCGGTTTTTACTTCCGTAATAAAGATTACGGACAGTTTGCTACTTCGATACAATTATCAGTTTATCAAAAATTTCAGAGGCAAAACTTTTATCCTTTTTTTCTTAGAAAGCGCAAGGAACTCCAGATCGAGAATCACTACCGTGGGATGTATATAAATAGATGTACTGTTAAATATCCCGCAGGAGGGAAACTCGTCAAGAATAATTTTAATAATTTTTACTTTGTTACTCTGTCTTGTGTCTCAACAGCTAAGAAGAACTGTGCTGAGCTGTACAAATCCGGTGAGAAGCTCAGCGGTGTTTACTCAATCGACCCTGATGGTTCAGGAGCCTTCGATGTGTTCTGTGACCAAAAAACGGCCGGTGGGGGGTGGACAGTGTTCCAAAAGAGACTGGACGGCTCGGTTGATTTCTACCGTGGCTGGAATGATTACAAGCGTGGCTTTGGTAACCTGAATGGCGAGTTTTGGCTTGGATTAGACAAGATTCATCGCCTGACCAAAACCAGGAACAAGCTTCGAGTTGACCTAGAGGACACTACAGGCAACGCTGTTTACGCTGAATACGACATGTTTGCAGTTACAAGCGAAAGGACCAAATACCAGCTTAGCCTCGGAACTTATTCAGGTGAGGAGCTGAAGAAAGGGCCTCGTTTGAAATCATTTAGCCCAAATAATTTTGATTTGCTAGTTTTCTGCTTTGTTTCTCCCAGGCAGCCTACTTCGATTTAATACCGTTTTTTACATTTGATAATCATTAGCACCAGTGCATTGTCGTTATTTTCCCTAAGTCTGATTCCCTACCCTCCAATTGTGCCTCGTCCCAGTGTTGGATTATATTCAGTTTAACAGCAATGTTAAAATTTACTTGTTTTATTCCTAGGAACTGCAGGAGACTCTTTTTCTTATCATCGTGGCCATGCATTCTCAACCAAAGACCGACATAATGGTATCTCGTCCAGCAACTGTGCTGTTACCTATAAAGGAGCCTGGTGGTATTACGATTGTCATGCCTCCAATCTGAACGGTGTTTATCACCATGGCAGTCACTCATCATATGCTGATGGTGTCAACTGGAAAACATGGAAGGGATATCGCTATTCTGCCAAGCGAGCTGAGATGAAAATCAGACCAGCGAACTTTTAGGCTGCTTACCATACTATAACTGCAGGTTTTCATTTTTGCTTGGTAGCAGCCAAGTAAAAAGCGTCAGTTAATTTTTGTCAACTAAAAACAAAACGCGGAATAAAAGTTATTGCCGGGAAAAAGTACGTGTTGATAAATATAATTCCCTTTGGTCATCTTAAATAGAGAGTGCCTCACACATCAAACACTGCAGCTTGAAAGAATGATCTCAGATACAGAAATCTCTAATGCCTTAAGGCAGGATCACAAGGGAGACCAACTATCAGTCCAAAATATTCCACCAAGTTTGACTTCAAAACACTCTACTAGTATATACCCGGGACCCACTAAAAAATGTCAGAATGTAATGGAAAGCGCAAACCTTGAATTCAAACCCCAAAATTTTCGCTAAAATCGATTGAAAGAGACATGAAAACGGTGAATCGTTCAAAATTGGAAGGGTTCCACACTGTTAAGAAATAATATAAAAAACAGCAATTTTTCTTTTCTTTTCCTTGGCAAGGTTTATCTTTGGAAGAATTTTATTAGCCTTTCGGTAAGCAGTCTCTTAGCTTTTTCACCCGTGCTCGTGGGTTAGGGAAACTGGGAAGAAATGTGAGGAAGGTGCACTCTCCCATTTACCAGTTTTACGCCGATACCCTCAAGTTGCCGGACGAGTTGACGACGGACCAACAATTAAACGATAGAGTGAATTACATCGGTTTCAAGAGATCAATTTTAAATCATGACACAATGATAACTGTTGTGTCGTAAAGGCAATACAAGCATGTCTGTCAGGTGCGGATTTAGGGGGAGAGTGTTAACACAACTGGTATTCCGCAAAAAGAAAAAAATATATTGTTTATTGGTGTTGAAGTAAAACATGAGACTAGGTTGAAAAACTTATGTTAAACGCCGAAAAAAATTGTAGTTTGGCACTGAAGTCTGCTGTATCGTCCTGGTGTCGTTTGATATGTATTCTCAGCAGTTCACCGGCATTATGCTTAGTGAAAAGCCTTCTTCTTGGTATTCGCTTTTAAAATTTGTTTACGTCGTCATTCAGTTTTTGGCGCCATTCCTCAGTGGTGCAACCCCACCTATGAAAAATCCTGGATCCGCGCCTGTTTCTAATGAGCTGTTTTCTTGCTTGTTTCTCTCAGTTTCAGTGAGGAGAATGAGCTTGATTCCAGTGACCTAAACAATAAAAGATCTTCTCAGGCCCACCAGGATGATCACAATAAAAAACGTTCTGGGATTATCGTTCCTAGTAAAGGTCGACAAGTTAAAGAAAGTAGATTGAACCAGTAACGAATCCCGTAAGAATGCTAGTCATGAATTTTTGGGGGATTATTATTAAACCAAGACCTATGTATTTGCGAATGATGAACCTGTATCAAGTATGGAAATTACCATGGCTCACGTGACTTAGCTTCAAGTCTACCAATTTTTTGTTACGTCTAGTTTAGGGTTTAAACGCTTAGAATGGCATGAAAAAAGAAAAAAAGAAAAGAAAAGAAAAAGAATTAACGACTGCTTTGTCAAATATTTTTTCTGTCTTTCTCTCAAAGTATTTCAATTCATTAACGAGGTCAGTCGATAAGCATCTCATTTTCTATCCCAAATGGTATCACAAACGTGTTTAAAAAGTGAACAAAAAAAAATTTATGAGAAGACTTAGGTAGAGTTCGATTGAGGTCAACCGTATTCCGGATTAGGTTCAGGGGTTGGCTTTTTTTTCGTCACTTTTCGTGTTCTTTTTGAGAAAAAAAAACGTTTTTAGTTTGTTTGCCTGATCAACTTTTTCAAACAGCTTAGAACTTGGTTGAAATGGTTGGAAACAATGGGTACCATCCGCTGATCTTTCAGCAGGTATCGATTTTCGGTCAAAATGCTCTGCCCTGTGTTGCGTCATACGTCACTTGCACATCTCCCATAATGTACCTTATTTGCCACCCAAAATTTTGCATAACCTTTGTTCTTCATTTCTCCTGGGTATTACCAGCCGTCCCAAGAGAAATTGAAAACAATGCTTATGAAAAATTTTGGGATGCAAATAAGATGCATTATGGGAGATGTGTAAGTGGCGTATCCACAAATTTCGCTCTTCTTAAAAATTTGCCAGAAGTGCTCGCGTGGGTCTTGCTAAAAACTTGTAAACAAATAACGAAAGCGGTATTTATGCATATTGTGCAACTTCAAAAGCACTTGAAAAACAAATAAAGGGATAAAAGAAAAGATATTTTAACCACTGCTTCACAGACATAAATATTTTCATAACTATGTTATAGACTGTAATACATTAGTAATTAAGTGGCAAATAAAAGATAGATTGATTGATGATTGGAGTGAAATAAACTTGTTTGAACGTCCTAACCTGCACCCCTTTCAGCCACAAAATAACCTAACATATAATGTACTTCTTCTCATCTTGATTTTTTGTTTCAAACACACACGTCCGCCGATTAATCGGGTCGTATTTCGTTCTATTTCCAGCCGTTATTTTGGAAAACGAGAAGATTCTGGACCTGGGGACAAGGCTAATTCTATTCTGATTCATTAGCTGTAATCGATCCTGATGGTTCAGGGGCCTTTGATGTGTTCTGTGACCAAAAAACGGCCGGTGGGGGATGGACAGTGTTCCAAAAGAGACTAGACGGCTCGGTTGCAGTGCCGTAGCCAGACCAAACGGCCAACCGAGGCAGGCGGGAGTTGCTAGGGGGGTTCGGGGGCATGCCCCCCCCCCCGAGAAATTTTGAACTTTAGTCTCTCGGAAATGCGATTTGCAGCCTTTTCTGGGCCTTTCGGTAACTTTTTTTCGAGTTAATTTAAGTGGAATTTAAAAAGCAATAATCAGAAACAAGCTACATAATCTGGGTGACCGTTAACCTCGCCAATGGTTTTGATCAGTATTTGTTCAAAAAAAATTTGAGTTAACGTACGTAGCCCCTTGAGATCGATGATATGGTAATTTTTTCATAGTATATTGACTGAATTGCTGAATTCTTTGTAATATCATGATGCGTTAAAAATATCCGATGATCGCTTATGTAAAATAAACATTATCGGCGAAATTCGTCAAAATTTTACCGAGGCGAGTGCCTCGGTTGGCCTCATACTAGCTACGGCGCTGGGTTGATTTCTACCGTGGCTGGAATGATTACAAGCGTGGCTTTGGTAACCTGAATGGCGAGTTTTGGCTTGGATTAGACAAGATTCACCGCCTGACCAAAACCAGCAACAAGCTTCGAGTTGACCTAGAGGACACTACAGGCAACACTGTTTACGCTGAATACGACATGTTTGCAGTTACAAGCGAAAGGACCAAATACCAGCTTAGCCTCGGAACTTATTCAGGTGATGATCTGAAGAAAGGGCCTCATTTGAAATCATTTAACCGTAATAAATTTTGATTTCCTAGTTCACTGCTTTGTTTCTCCTCAGCCTACTTCGAATTAATGCCGTTTTTTTTACATTTGAAATCATTAGCACCAGTCCATTTTAGTTATTTTCGCTAAGTCTGATTCCCTACCCTCCAATTGTGCCTCGTCCCAGTGTTGGATTATATTCTTTAACAGCAATGTTAAAATTCTCGTGTTTTTTTCTTAGGAACTGCGGGAGACTCTTTTTCTGGTCATCGTGGCTTTGCATGCACAACCAAAGACCGAGATAATGATATCTGGTCCAGCAACTGTGCTGTTTCCTTTAAAGGAGCCTGGTGGTATAGCAATTGTCATAGCTCCAATCTGAACGGTGCTTTTCACCATGGGAAACACTCATCATATGCTGATGGTGTCAACTGGTCTTCATGGAAAGGATATCACTACTCTGCCAAGCGAGCTGAGATGAAAATCAGACCAGTGAACTTTTAGGCTGCTTACCATACTATAACTGCAGGTTTTCATTTTTGCTTGGTAGCAGCCAAGTAAAAAAAGTCAGTAAACTTTTGACAATCTAACCAAGAAATAAAAGTTGTTCCAGAGAAAAAATACGTGTTGATAAATATAATTCCCTTTGGTCATCTTGAATAGAGTGTGCCTCAAACATCAAACACTGCAGCTTGAAAGAATGATCTCAGATACAGAAATCTCTAATGCCTTGAGGCAGGATCAATGACAAGGGAGACCAACTATCAGTCCAAAATATTTCCTCAAGTTTGACCTTAAAAACCTCTACTAGCATATAACCGGGACCCACTGAAAAATCTCAGAATGTAAGGTGGAAAGCGCAAAGCTTGAACTCAAACCCCAAAATGTTCGCTAAAATCGATTGAAAGAGAGATGAAAGTGGATCGTTCAAAATTTGAAGGGTTCCATACTGTTGAGAAATAATTATATAAAAAACAGCAATTTTTGTTTTCTTTTCCTTGGCAAGGTTCATCTTTGGATGAATTTTTTTAGCTTTAGGGCAAGCAGTCTCTTGGCTTTCACTCGTTCTCGTGAGTTGGGGAAACTGGGAAGGAATGTGAGAGAGAAGCGCTCTCCCATTTACCAAATTTACGCCGATACCCTCAAGTTGCCGGACGAGTTGATGACGGACCAACGTTAATTAAAGGATAGAGTGACTGAATTACATCGGTTTCAAGAGATCAATTTTAAATCATGACACAGTGATAACTGTTGTGTGGTAAAGGCAATACAAGCATGTCTTTCAGGTGCGGATCTAGGGGGAGGGTGCAGGGGCTACGCACCCCCCCCCCCCGAGATGACCTACGTCTTTCTAACACAACTGGTATTCTGAAAAAAGGAAAAAAATGTGGATTATTGGTGTTGAAGCAAAACATGAGGGTGACTAGGTTGAAAAACTTATGTTAAACGCCGAAAAATTTGATAGATAAGGCCATGACTCTTGAACCTCATGGCCTAAACCGCCGTGACGAATTATTGTAATCCATATCCTTAGTATTTTTCCTATCCAGTTTTTATGTTGTACGTCATTTCCGCCTCTCCCTTTTATTGCGACATTCTCCATCTATATAATATTGTGATTGCTACATAAGTTCAGTAACATCTGTAAACCTGAAGAAGGCTGGTATGGCCAGCCGAAATATTGTTATAAAAAACAATACACGTTGTTTTAAATCAGCTTTGCTGTAGTCTTCGGACTTCTCGTTCTAGTTTGGCACTGAAGTCTGCTCTATCGTCCTGGTATCGTTTGATATGTATTCTCAGCAGTTCACCGGCATTAGGTTATTGCCTAGTCAAAAGCCTTCTTCTTCGCCGTGATTCGCTTTTAAAATTTGTTTACGACATCAGTCAGTTTTTGGCGCCATTCCGTAGTGGTGCAACCCCCCCCCCCCTAAGAAAAATCCTGCATCCGCTCCTGTTTGAATGAGCTGTTTTCTAGCTTGTTTCTCTGTTTCAGTGAGGAGAATGAGCTTGATTCCAGTGACCTAAGCAATAAACGATCTTCTCAGGCCCACCAGGATGATCACAATAAAAAACGTTCTGGGATTATCGTTCCTAGTAAAGGTCGACAAGTTAAAGAAATTAGATTGAACCAGTAACGAATCCCGTAAGGATGCTAGTCATGAATATTTGGGGGATTATTATTAAACCAAGACCTCTGTATCTGTGAATGATGAACCTGTATCAAGTATGGAAATTACCATGGCTCACGTGACTTAGCTTCAAGTCTACAAAAAAACATTTTTTGTTACGTCTAGTTTAGGGTTTAAACGCTTAGAATGGCATGAAAAAAGAAAAGTAAAAAAAGGAAAAGAATTAACGACTGCTTTGCCAAATATTTTTTCTGTCTTTCTCTCAAAGTATTTCAATTCATTAAAGAGGCCAGTCCATAAGCATCTCATTTTCTATCTCAAATGGTATCACAAACGTATTTAAAAAGTCAACTTTATGAGAAGACTTAGGTAGAGTTCGATTGGGGTCAACCAAGAGCCATATATGGCTCTTGGGTCAACCGTATTCGGATAATTAGGTTGGTTGGCTTTTTTTCGTCACTTTTCGTGTTCTTTTTGGTAAAAAAAAAAGTTTTTAGTTTGTTTGCCTGATCAACTTTTTCAACCAGCTTAGAACTTGGTTGAAATGGTTGGAAACGATGGGTACCATCCGCTGATCTTTGAGTAGGTATCGATTTTCGGTCAAAATGCTCTGACCTCGATTTTCAAGTGTTGCGTCATACGTCACTTACACATCTCCCATGATGCACCTAATTAGCCCCATAAAATTTTGCATAATCTTTGTTCTTCATTTCCTCTGGGTATTACAGTTGTCCCAAGAGAAATTGAAAACAATGCTTATAAAAAATTTTGGGATGCAAATAATATGCATTATGGGAGATGTGCAAGTGGCGTATCCACAAATTTCACTCTTCTTAAAAATTTGCAAGAAGTGCTCGCGTGGGTATTGCTAAAAACTTGTAAACAAATAGGAAAGCGGTATTTATGCATATTGTGCAACTTCAAAAGCACTTGAAATAAAAAATAAAGGGATAAAAGAAAAGATATTTTAACCACTGCTTCACAGACTATATATTTTTACAACTTTTATTTTCTACGTGAAAAAAAATCTGATCATTCCAAGAAGTTCAGAGGAATATAGAGGTGCTACCATATGGAACAGTTTGCCAAATAGTTTGAAGGAAATTAAGTCATTGCAGTTGTTTAAAAGGAAATGAAATGTTTTGTTCAACAGAAATATACTTACTTTACGTAGTGGAACATAAATAAAGTGTAATACTCTTGCTGCTTAATAATATCTAATGCCACCATTTTCAATACGAGTGGTTATAATACATAAATTAAAGGGAACCTCCGTAGAAATCTAGAAAAGCTCAGCTGAGCTTGCAGAGATCTCCTGCTAATAGATTATGTTATAGATGTAATACATTAGTAATTAAGTGGCAAATAAAAGATTGATTGATTGAATGATGATTGGAGTGAAATAAACTTGTTTGAAAGTCCTAACCTGCACCCCTTTCAGCCACACACAAAAAATAATAATAATAACCTAACATATGTATTTCTTCTCATCTTGATTTTTTGTTTTAAACACGCAGTCCGCTGATAAATCGGGTCGTATTTCGTTCTATTTCCTGCCGCTATATTGAAAAACGAGAAGACTCTGGACCTGGGGACAAGGTTAATTCTATTTATTCATTAGCTGTATTTAATTTTACTTTTAGCCGTCTCCTTGAGTTACAAAATCCTAAGAAAGACAAGTTTAGGGACTTATATAGGAGAAAAATCAGGCTTATATTTGGCATTCATCGTCATAAACACGTCTTTACACCGGTTTTTGAAGAAGAACCGCGTTGACAACCTTGGCAACAGAGGACAAAGAAGTCCGGAAACTATACCCACGAGGCAAAATCACTTACACTATACGGCTTTTAAACCAAAACCTGAAGAAACAGAGTTTAAGAAACTTGTCAAGTATTTATGACAATTAACTTGTGGTCAAAAACGTTACCTTTTTTCAACGGGAAATTATGTCACTGAAATATTTCATAAGCTTTAATTTACTTTTGTTTCATTGTTTTTGTAAATTTTTCAGAGAATAAAGCCAGCGTTAAAAAACACCCCTGGCAAATTTCCTCCGATTCAAGTTTTCGGAATTTTTTTCAGCTGATTTTGCCTACGTGGCTGTAACCGCTCCATAAAATGCGGTACGTAAGATCAATATGGATTTTCACCTGAGTAAAAATAAGTTTATGTAAATAAAATTTCTAAAAAATAAATTCAGTGTCCTTATTTAGTTGGCTATTTTAGCTACATTTTTTATATCCATAGTCATTGCTTTGGTATGCAAATATGATCGTGACTGCACTTAATTTTGCAATTTTCTTCAGCTCCTTTTGATTCCAACAAATTACTTTTAAAAAAGATCGTCGACTGAAAATATAAATAAAATGGTCCGCTCTGGTGCAAGTAATCAGTGCTTTGTGTTTTTTAGAGATGGTACATTTTCTATAGCCTGAATTTCATCCGATTACTTCGAGTTGTTATTACTCCCTCAGTAATTGAGGGAGTAATAACGACTCGAAGTAATCGGATGAAATTCAGGCAACATTTTCTCCTGTTTCTCCTTTTCTTGTAATGTTAGTTTTGGCGAGAACAATTAAAGAAAACGCTCAATACCTATTCTGCATTCCATGTATTGCTAAAGATTTAATTATTATTCCTCAGGAAACGCAAATGAAAACTGAGAGCAAATATAAAGTACAAAGGCTAGCAAATTACGCCTGGGGATAAAGTTATTGAAGCTCAAAGTGGAAAGGACTTAAAAACCGGGTTCAAATTTCATGCTCTTACAGGAGGAATCTTTGGGCGTTTTAGATTGAAATGAAAAATATTGATTTGTTTTTCTTCACAGAAAAAATCTCAACAAATTTTAGCTTATGAAATCGAGAAAAACGATCGAAGGAAAGAACTGTATCTATAGAAAAATAAAGCATATAACCTGCGAAATTCAAATTCCTCGACCTTCGCCGCCATCTTGAAGATTTTGAATCCACAATGCATCGAAATCGTAGTGGGCACACCACCTGACTTGTCTTCATGTGATGATAAATACAGATGTTAAGCAAAACGAAATGCAGACTTGGTGCCAACAGAGAAACAAGACCTTGAAATGATGACCCCCTCAACTTCGATTCTCTTATTACAGCTAACAAGTGAACATCTTGTAATGCTGAATGACAAAACAAAATAAGCTCACTGTGTTAAAATACCTTGGCCGACTATTCTGAAAAAGCTCCTAGTATTTTATGAGTATATCACAGCCACGCATATCACTAATCAGTACCTCTTAGCACTAGTTGCACTGATTTCACGGTGAATTCAAAATGTTCGGCGAACCGCGGGTCTTACCTCCAGTGCTTTTCATGATTGAAGCATTGAACAAAGCGTTTCTGTGCCGACTTTTCTTGGTCAGTTGCAAACAGGATGCAAGTGATTACGAACAAAATACACCAGAATACACTTATCAACGGAATGAGACTGTTTTTTCCCTGAGAATTGGACAGACTTTCTTTTTCAAGAGCTTCTGGAAGAGATTCAAAGCAAAATCGTATATATCTACAGTGTAATTAACGAATATTCACTCCGCAGTCGAGATGTTCACTCCACGTCATCTTGACACAAATGATCAAATTTTGAATACCGCCCATGATGCTTAGCGATCGTAGTGCGCACACCACATAAGACTTAAAAATAGCTGAACAAGAAATAAAATCTTGTCTGTAGTGCTTAAGGCAAAACTCGTGTACATAAAGCAATGATTTTCTTTACTTATGAGTCACATCACTTTCATTGATCTGCCGGATAACTTACTGACCGTACTAAATTGTTCACCAAAATGTCGTGGATTTTGAGTTTTCGCTGGAGCTTAGTGCTTCTGTTTGCGTTGGTGGCGATGGGTTCGACCTTTGCTAAACAAGCCAACGCTAAAACTCTGGCCAAAAAAAACGCACCGTCTCTTAAAGGCACGCAACATTGTAACAATAATATTGTTAAAATCCTACAAGAAATTAAGCAACAGCTATCGCAGGTTGAAAACGACATCAAAATTTTAAAAGGAAAGAAGACTTCAGGTAAATTAAGTGATTTCGATAGTCATAACTAAACTCCGTGCTGTTGTAAAATAGTGATTTCCTTCGTCCTCGATTACCTATCATTTGATTTCTCAACAGCTAAAAAGAACTGTGCTGAGCTGTACAAATCTGGTGAAAAAATCAGCGGTGTGTACACAATCGATCCTGATGGTTCAGGGGCCTTTAATGTGTTCTGTGACCAAAAAACGGCCGGTGGGGGGTGGACAGTGTTCCAAAAGAGACTAGACGGCTCGGTTGATTTCTACCGTGGTTGGAATGATTACAAGCGTGGCTTTGGTAACCTGAATGGCGAGTTTTGGCTTGGATTAGACAAGATTCACCGCCTGACTAAAACCAGGAGCAAGCTTCGAGTTGACTTAGAGGACACTACAGGCAACACTGTTTACGCTGAATACAACATGTTTGCAGTTAAAAGCGAAAGGACCAAATACCAGCTTAGTCTCGGAGCTTATTCAGGTAAAGATCTGATTTGATTTGCTGGTTTGTTGGCTGTTCCTCAGTCTTCTTCGATTGAAAATCTTTTATTAATTTCAAAACATATGGTATGTTTTGAATATAGGTGACCATGATAAGTCCAATAGTCAGGCCAGCTAAGTCGGCTTTCCATCAGGGGCACCCAATGACGGTTTCCTCCTAAATGCATTGAAAACACTTTTTAGGCTATCCAGAGTCCTTTGAGATCGTTAGAAAAGCATTCTATGAGGCGCTGAAATCTGTATCTATTCGGTCATCCTAGGGGAACTTGAGTTTTTCGAAATTACAAGGGCTTAAGTATTATTTTTCCGAAAATTTTGGATGAAATTTAACGTATTACTAAAGTGAGACATTTTCCTCTCTCCATCACATCTATGAATCCGAAAATTTTAGGTTTCCTTTTTTCTAGGAAAAATAACCTAACCTGGGAAGTAAAATTCGAACATTAACCTTCAGAAAACCGTAGGGAATTTATTAGATAATTTTCCAAAATTGTACATGAATGGAACGGTCATCTAGAAATTTTTAGCCTTCCCCAAGTAATAGAAAATTCTAGGCAATATTTGCTTCTCCGAACAGATATTTTAAAGAAACCAGTCGTTGGGTGCCCTTGTTCCCTGCCCTCCTTTTCTAACAGTAATTGTAAAAGTCTCGTGTTTTATTTCCTAGAACTGCAAGAGACTCTTTTTCTTATCATCGTGGCCGTGCATTCTTAGCACCAGTCCATTGTAGTTATTTTCGCTAAGTCTGATTCCCTACCCTCCAATTGTGCCTCGTCCAGTGTTGGATTATATTTTTTAACAGCAATGTTAAAATTCTCGTGTTTTTTTCTTAGGAACTGCAGGAGACTCTTTTTCTTTTCATCGTGGCAGTGCATTCTCAACCAAAGACCGAGATAATGATGGCTCGTCAAGCAACTGTGCTGCTACCTATAAAGGAGCCTGGTGGTATAGCAGTTGTCATACCTCCAATCTGAACGGTTTTTATCACCATGGGAAACACTCATCATATGCTGATGGTGTCAACTGGCTTTCATGGAAAGGATATCACTACTCTGCCAAGCGAGCTGAGATAAAAGTCAGACCAGTGAGCTTGTAGAACTTTTCTAAAACGTAACAGCGCTCATTTTTGTTTGCTAACAGTCAAGTAGAAAAAAAGACTGATCATTTAATGATTGTCAATACAACTGCTAATAAAATTTTAAAAACGCTCCCTGGCAAAATATATACATGTATACGTTTTGATAATTTGCTTTAGTTTTCTTCTAACATCTGTAAAGAGCACCCCCCAAAAAATCCTGCAAAACAATAAAATGAGCTTAAATAAAATCTTAAATGACCTGAGTTCAGAACCACTGGCAAAGGGATCATTACTCCAAATCCATTCTACTACAATGTACTGAAGTTTGCAGTTGACTCATCCCAATGGTACTTGCAAGGTAGTAGACCCACTGAAAAATCCCATAATGTAAGGGAGAGCTTTTGCACAATCCCTAAATGGAACGCTAAAATGTCTTGCTAAAATGTCTTGCAATGCCTTTCTTTGAAAGATGATTCCAGTCACTTTTATTTTTTGGAGGTGGAAGCTAGAAGTAAATCGGTTAACATCTGAATCAATTAATATTAACTGCTAAGCTTTGGAGGTTGTCTTGGTCATTCACTTATAAAATTTCGAAATATTTTCAGATCGGCAAGTTGTGTGGTCTAGAAAGAGTGTTTTCGAGAACAGGGAACTAGTTTTCCAGTTTACAGATTCTTCAGGAGCCAGAATACCTTGACTAAGATCAACTGAAATAGTGAGATTTTAAAATGCACTGACAACACAAATGTCATGGTGCAGAGTGTAACCTAAGAAAAACATCAGAATGATACAAAAAATGCTAACATTGGCCCAATATACACAAAAAGTGATTTTCCAATTCTATTAAAAATATGAAGTGTAACCCACGCAGAGATTGGATGGGAGTCTTGAAGCAACCTTTCCACTCATTCTTACAATACAATATTAACTGAAGCGTTTACAGCATTTTACGGTGACGTGTTCAGGCCCAGGCCAGCGGTGAGGTTCTTATTAATACCACTTAAGGTTACTCAACCCAGTTATTTTATGAGGGTACCATCCTACCTTTGAAGCCCTCTGGTATCCCCACCTTTACTTTGAACATAAGTCTGACATAAAGCATGGATAACATATAGATCACTCTACAATATAGCATAAAATTTTTAGCGATCGGAGTAAATGTCACGTATAGTGCCATGCCTCATTGGGGTCTGAGTCGAAATTCTGCTGTTGCTGGCATTTTTTCGTGAAAATCTCTCAGCTACATATAGTGCGTATTAGTGCCTTGCGTTGAACAGATTTTCACCAAAATCGCAAAGACCCAATGTGAGAAATTCAGCGGGGTCCAAATTTAGGTCACAATTTATGCAAAAATGGTAAGCAAACTTTACACGATTATATCTAATAAACTATGAGATTTATTCCTTTATTTTGAGGATCTTTATAACGGATGGGTCCTTGCAAGTCAGCAAGTTAAGAGTCCGTACAAATTACAGTTTTAGCTATTTGTTGACGTTTGTCAGTGTTTAAGAGTCCGTCTCACAAAAAAAGCATTTTCTTAAAAATTGGTAGTTTTTTTTTTCCTTCAAATTTTTTCAGGGCCACAATTGATTAACTAACTATCTGGATTCTGAATTTCATGATCATTGAAAAACTGTCACATTATCTTCTATAAGCCCAAACTTGAGTAAGCGTGCAAAGAAAGTAGTGTTCGATAGCCCGGGGCTAGTGGATTTTGCTATCGGGCTAGTGAATTCTGTTTTTAACTTGCCCAACAGGCAAGAGATATTTTTTTTAGAAATTCGAATAACAATAACAGTAGAACTGTAATCAATCCTGCTCATCAATTTTTTTTCGGGCTAGTTGATATGACTTTCAGGCTAGTACATGCTAGCTACAGCTTGCCTGAATGGCAAGCTGTAAAACTGACTTTCTTTGCACCCTGTTGAGTAAACATTGAAGATTTTTAGCGTTTTGGCTGAGTTTGTGCTTTGGGAGTTTTCTATTGTTTCTAGTCTGTCACGATACAGCATTTTTATTCAGCACGCGTCCAATGACCGTGCTTGCCTGACTTTCGAATTCTCACCGAGATATGATAATTTTGGTACAGTGAGACAGGCGATGGCGTGGTACATAGAGGTTTAACTCATGATTTTTAATCAATTCTTGTGCTTCCTGTGCCTTTGCAAAAAAATCAAGAAATGCTACACACTAAATCTACTTACTATTAAAAAAATATCATTTTCACATAGGTTTAATGACAAGCCAATAATTAAACCAACTCATCACTTATCCTTTTATCTGGTAGTGAAAAAATTAACTACACTTGCTCTAAAATCTTTCTTGCTTGTCTTGCTTAGAGATAATGCTAAAAGCCCTTGTACCTCCTGCAGTATACAAGGTGCTGAGGGTGTTCATGTCTAGACGTTACGTGACGGGAATCCCTCCTATTTTCTCATACAAAATTATCATATCTCGGTGAGCATTTGGAAGTCAGCCAAGTGCGGTCATTGCACGTCTGCTGAACAAGAATGTTGTGTCATGACAGACTAGAAACAATAGAAAACTCCCAAAGCACAAACTCAGCCAAAACACTAAAAATCTTCAATATTTACTCGAGTTTGGGCTTATAGAAGATAATGTCACAGTTTTTCAATGATCATGAAATTCAGAAGGAAGGGAAAAGAAGGAAGGAAAAAAAACTACGAATTTTGAAGAAAATGCTTTTTTTGTGAGAAGGACTCTTAAACGCTGACAACCGTCAACAAATAACTAAAACTGTAATTTGTATATGTTTGCATTGCTCAAAATCGCGCGCATTTACTAGGCCCTAAAGCTTTTTGCTGCCTTGCAAGGACCCATCTGTTATAAAGATCCCCAAAATAAAGGGATAAATCTCATAGTTTATTAGGTATAATCATGTAAAGATTTTGGTGAAACTCTGTTCAATGCAAGCCACTAATACGCACTATATATATGTATCCGAGAGATTTTCACGAAAAAATGCCAGCAACAGCAGAAATTCGACTCAGTCCCCAAAGAGGCGTGGCACTATAACCATGTGACATTTACTCCGATCGCTAAAAACTTTATGCTGTATTGTAGATTGATCTATATATTATCCATGCTATATGTTAGACTTACGATCAAAGTAAAGGTGGGGATACCAGAGAGTTTCAAAGTAGGATGGTACCCTCACAAATTAACTGGGTCGAGTCACCTTAAGCCTACCCTTCGAAGCCGAAGATTGATGTCTTCTTTTATTTGCTTTGAGATCCACTTAGTTCACAACAATTAGCCTGTGAACAGGCAGTCTGCTTGGGGAAAGGGTGCGATTTTTTCACCCTTTCCCCAAACAGAGAGCCTGTTCAAAGGCTAACAACACTATTGAAGCAGAGCCAAGATAAGAAACACAATGATGCATCATAACAGGCCTGTGAACGTGCTCTAAATTTTCTTCCCCACTCGATGCCTTACAAAGTTTTAAAGCCAGTGTAATCATTCTGCGGTATGTTAGTTTAACATCGCCCAAATACCTTTTATCTTTCTCTGGCAAATACACATTTCACATAACATGACACTGTTTTCCTTCGCCTTGATCACCAGCGTTCGTTGTATTTAAATCATTGCCGGTCTCCCTCGTTGTACTTCCAGTCCGTTTGCTTTTTCCGTGGTCCTCTTTGAGACCGTATTTAGCCCTGATCTCCTCGCGTTTCTTTTCTCTCTCGGCATTTCGTTTGGCATGTTGTTTCTCTCTTTTAGCCCTCGCTGCAGCATGCTGTTCATTACTTTTCCGCAGTTCTTTCGCTGAAATTCCTTCATCTTGTACCTCATCTTTGTCGGCATCCCATCCTAAACTCTTACCAACAGACGAAAACTTACTGGAAACTGCTGCCTTGGCGATTGAATTCATCTCCTTTACTCTCTATTCTTTCTTTATGAATATTAGTGTTCCTTGCAGAACCGTCTTCAGTCTCTTCAATGTAAAGTCACTCGCAATGTTATGCCTTGGTAACCATATCTGTTTAGCTTTGTATCCCGGCCTTGTTAAAATTTGGGAGGTCACTTTGCGTCCTTCTATTTCTATGTCAGCTGTGTACAATACTTGATTGTGTATTTTGAAGCAGAAAATTGCCAAAACAATGAGGTGAGCTTTGTCAGTTTCATTTATTTTCACGCCAACTTTAACAACTTACGTGAAATCATATTCTGCACGATTGAGTTTGATTTTGAGTTCTCAACTTTGAACTGGATATCACTTCACCACTCAGCTGAACTTGGAGCTAACTTGCTTGCCAATGTTGTAGTACTACAGTGAGTACAGCTGTTGTAAAACAGTAGTTCTGAACTAACACTATTTTCCCTAGAAGCTGTCGTTGAGGACTTACCCTGAAGAATATACAGACGAACCCCGACAACTCGATGGCTAATCATTTTACCGTTTCTGAGGAAATAAGTTAGATTTGCACTGTACCACACTGAACGGCTGAAAAGTCAGTAATCAGTATCTTTGACATGGCAAATTGAATTTTGGAATCCACCCCGATAACTCGAACCCTCGCTAACTCAAAGCCCTTTTTGTTTCCCTTCAGAGTTCGAGTTACCGTGGTTCTTCTTTATTGCATTCACACCTGAAGTCTTCCAGGTTCTACTGTATTGCATTTCACACCTGAAATCTTCCATAAGTTGTGGGTCTACCCCGGAAGAATTTCTCTTTTTTTTTTCTGTAAAAAGTTGCATGAATTCTCTATTACCCCTTGGTGTGGTTGTTCAAAAGAAGGATAACACCATAGTTGATAGAGTGGAATGGATATGAAGTCCATCAGACTCTTTTGTTATACAGGGCTTCTGATATTCCGCACGGTCATGGAGCCGTGAAATTCAGGTAAATCCAGGAAATTCACAAAAACATGCAAAATACTGCAAAAATAGTAAGATGTGAAACTTATCTCAGCTATTGGGGCTGTTTAATTGCCGTAAACATGCAAATGTTTCTTGAAACTTCATCACCGCAATGAGCAAACACTGTCCCAAATCTACCAGGTGCAAATTATGTCGTGAAAAACTGAGCACCAGTCATGATCTTAAAAGCTAGTTTGCCATCGGCTCATTTCTCGAGCGTATTGTTGTTGAAAGAGCAAATGATTATCTCTGTTAAAAAAAGGGAAAAATGCTCATCAAATTAGCACAAAACCGATCAATTATTTCTAGCAAAATTTGCCCTGAACATTCCCATGAAATTGGTCGTTTTTTACCGATTGTTTTTCAGCAAAGTTTGCCCCAAAAATTCCCCAGAAATCAGCCAATTTTTCTGTGAATTTGCTCTGAAAATCCCAAGAAATTTGTTTTTTTTCCGTGACCTATTAGAAGCCCTGGTTATATGTTTTTGTGGACCTGATGGTGCACAACATTCAATAACATTCCTATCATTTTGGTCTTATTGACCAATAAAAACAACGCATTAATTTATTTAGTCACAATTTGTGAAAAGAAAACAACAAATGATAACTGTGTATGGCGTGAGGGTGCACCCAACATAAACAGCAGCATTGGCACCATTGTTTTCATTTTTGGTGTTGAGTCCTTTCATCACCACTCTTTTCTACTACATATGATAAAGCTATCCACCGGATAAATCTCTATCCAGTGGATAGTGCATCATTGGTTTCTATCATACAGTTTACTTATCCGTTGGATAATGATTTATCCAGTGAATAGCACTAATTTCCAGTGAAGATTTTCTCAAAAATTTAAGTTTCACTCCAAAGAAATTCCTACCAGTTTGTTTGTTCTTCCCCTGATGAAGTCCTCCTTACTTCTAAATTACCCCCAAAGAATTCAGAATTGCTCCTAAACCTGGGGGATGCAAAATTGATGCATATTTCCTGTTTAAATGGTAATTAAAAAGTCCTGTCACCTTAAACCTTCACTTTAAGCTTTATTAAGACTGTATCATGTCCTGCAGTGATCGTGATATAATTTTTATGGCATACCTAAGTTTGCTCTATTCAAAACCACTAAGACATACACAACCAGTTTTTTTTCTGCAAGGCTTAATTATTGTTCTTACAAAATGTAAATCTCTTTCATCCTGATGATCACATATTACTTTGCACTTGAAACCTTAAAAAGGAAACTGAGAATTTCAAGAACAAAGGATGAGATTGAACCATATTTCTGCAATGAGTATTTTGATTAATTCAAGTTTTAATTAATGTGGAATTTATCTGACTGGTAATTGTACACTCTACATTTTAGATCTCACACTGGTCTCAACGTACTATAGTCTTGATAGTGATGTGTGAAAACTCAAAAAAACCAAATGAAAGTGGAAACCATTTGACAATTGACCAGAAAGCTGCTGCCAACTTTGTAGATTGTTCCAAATTATCTGGTGAAAGCCCTGTTCAAATAAGTGAACGTACAAGGGCCCTTAGTAATGACGTGTGGGAGACATTCTTTGATGCTGATGGCAGAGTGGTGAACGAATCAGCTCTCAGGAGAGCAGTATTCAAAGGTATCTTATAATGTCATGAAAGATATTAATCATCATGGATAATGCGTATAAAGGGTTTAGTTTTATCGTTTGTCTCACGATTGTCACTTTGATATTGATCGCAACGTTTCGACTGCACACTGCACGTCTTCTTCAGGTGATAGTGTCGATTTACTGAGTCAAACTATTTGTATCACTGTGGTTGTTAGTGATTTGTGTATCACAAACGTCGCTCATGGTTGGTGGGTTTCGATCCAAAGCATTGTGGCCATTTTCTTCGTCTCTCAATGCCAACAAATTGCTTTGGATTGAAACCCACCAACCATGAGCGAGGATTGTGATACACCAATCACTAACAAACATGTTGATACAAATAGTTTGCATCCGTTTAGTGCCCCCCTGGCACACACTTTGTATTGAAATGTCTTGTTGCCATCTGGGCTGTATACTTGTAAGTGGGAGTCCTGTGCAGTAACATAAATTTACTTTTGTGTTTTTTGAAATTATATTTTAGGTGGAATTGATTGCAGGATTAGAAAGGAAGTTTGGAGTTTTTTGTTTGGATTATATCCATTTTCATCCACAAGGAGGTACTGTATTAACACCATACTACACTGTGCAATATCATTTCATTTCTAAATTTCAGCTTTTTTACCAACATTTACATGTAAATTACTAAGGACCTAAGACTAAGAAAATTTTAAAGGCTGTCGTGACAAACAGAGCACTGTCAATGAGATAAAATTAGTGTTTTCTTCATTTTTTCTGTCCATTCAATAGTACTTTGTAAATTATACTAGTCACGTAAATTGAACTAGCCATGATTATTACAGTGCTAATACACAGTCAAATATCTGATTTAATTTTAGAGAAAGAGAAGCCCTTTCTGCTGAGAATGATGCCCGATACCAAGCTTTGAAAATGAGATGGAAAGAACTTGTACAGTCATTCGAGCCCCCAGTTAATCCAGACATCCCTGAATCAATACCTTTATACTTACGTGAATGTCAGAGCTGTAATGCTGAACTCAATGAGCCAAATGCTCAAGGAAACCGTGAACAAGAAGTTCCACTGGTAGGAGAGGATCAAGTTGTGTTTCTGAGTTTGACAGCAAAGGTTTGTTTGATATCTGGTTATTAGGTTTGTTTTGAACAGTGTTCCATGTATTCCCTTGTAGAAATTCAGTACATTTAAAGTATACTTTATATAGGTGATAAACACTTTAAAAAGTATACTTCATTTGTACTTAAAGTATACTTTAAGTATACTTACCAGAAGTATACTTTAAGTACACAACTTTTCGACACCTAAAAAGTATACTTAAAGTATACTCAATGAAAGTATACTTGAAGTATACTTAATGGGAAGTATACTTCAAGTATACTTAAAATATACTTAAAGTATACTCAATGCAATATGTTAATCAATCACTGAGACACGTCAGACTTGGATCAATTATTTTGTAAAATCATTTATTGATATAACAAAAAAAACTACCCCTAACTTAAAGCAATACAAATGTACTAAAAAATTATAAAAAAATATATAGCAAATCTTGTTGAAATAGGTTTCCACAACATAAAATATACATTTTCTATTCCTATCAAAGGAACTCACTGCATTTGATTACCATAATATATTATTCTTCTTGATTTTAGTAAAATTTTCATTGACAATGAGATCATTTCAAGGAAGGTGCTTGTATATTAACAGGTTTCTTTCTGAACTTTCTTTAACTCACTTGTACTTAATAATTATTGCTTCGAACCAGCACACAATATTCTTCTTAATTTTAGTAAATGTCTAATAGACAAGAATGATTAGATCTGTACTCTTTGGCTAGAAAGTAAATTGTGCCATTACCTTATTAAAGAAATATGTCTACCTATTACGTACAAATTAAAACTGGAACGAAATGCGATCTAAGGAAAACAAGACTTGGGTTTTATATTTTGAATTTACACTGCACTTTAGGCGAAGTAAACAAGCTTTCGCTTTGTAAACCTTAAGGGCTTAACTCGTGTGTCATTTGCAAATGGCTTGCAAAGAAGAATCGATATATATTGAAACGACTGGAACCGATACATTTTCTACCCCAAAACTTACTTGTATCGTCAAAATTCAGTCATGGTGTACTTCTTTTGTTTTCTTTTCAAGTTCCACTCATATTGTACTCGAATGGTGAAGATAAATTAAAGGCAATATTCCAAGCGTATAAATATCTTGAAGACACTCTCAGCAAAGCTCAACGAACGTTCCTTCGAATCTGTATCGGCCGCCAAAACCATATATGGAAGTTAGGTATGCTGTAAATGATTCATACATGACCGTATTAGGAAATCCACAAGATCCCGTATATGTTCCCACGGTACTGGAAGTCAGAGGTAATTCAACACCTTCATATATTCATTTCTTTCCTCGAATGTAAGCGATGGTTTTGCTTCGAGTTCTCGTTCTATTACTTAAGGTCCTCGTAAAAAAGGAGGTTAAACGACCCCGGCCTTAATTACATCCGATATCTTTTACTGCCAAGTGCAAAAATTCCACGAAAGACGTTAAAGAAATGCCCGAAACTGTGCGACTTTGCCATTTCGCCCAGGGATCGGCGGATGATCTTCTTACGAAGGAAGTCGACTGAACAGCTAATGTGTGCCCTGTGTATCTAGAAACCTGTTATATACTTCACCACTCTGAAGAAATCTTTACATGATCTCAACTGTGTCCTTAATAGAAGAAAACTGATTTGATCTGAACAGTATTTTGAAGTTAAATTATATATACTTAAAGCATACTTTTAGTATACTTTTGTCTTGTAGTGATTTCAAGATCCGGACAAACCTTCTTAGGTCCTCAGATCAGAATGTGTCTTTCAGTTTCAAAGTATACTTAAAGTACACTTTTCTTTGTGAAACTATTTTTCACAAGCACTGAAGTTTGAAAAAGTATACTTAAAGTATACTTAAGTATTTGAAGTATAAATGAAGTACATTTGCCAAATATACTTCATTTATACTTTTTTTCTGGAAGTACAAACGAGGTATACTTCAAATGTACTTTTTTTCTGAGAAGTACATATAAAGTATACTTGAAGTATACTTAAAGTATACTTAATTTCTACAAGGGTTGCACTTCACACGTGAACATTGTCCGTATTCACCAAAGTCAGGGTTCCTTTCCTGAATCTGCTGGTACTAAACTTACATGTACATGTAGTTTGTTATTATTTAATACTTACATGTAACAGCAAGAAGCACATCACCTTTGAATCTCATTTTTCATGTCAGACAAGAATTGGGTCATTGTGACCAAAATTATAACCAATGATGCATTTCCATCATCATGGCCTTTGTGTTTTTGTTATTTTGTTGTTGGTTCTGCTAATGGAAAATCTTGCTCCCTATGCCTTGTTAAAGTGCTGTCAGGAGCATCTGTATTAGTTAAAAGGCTTCAAACACTTACAAAATGCAGTACTGGGTAAGTGCGTTTATGTGGATGGAGATGCACCTGAGGCATCCCTTTTTCTACTCTTTAAATACAATAAACTTTGTAAATCAAGGTGAAACATTGCACTTAGAGGGTAATAAGAGTGTCTTGCCCACTGAATGCAATACATGATTAACACAGCCAAGACTTGAACCTAGACCTCATGATACCTTCATATCCATGGTGTTATGTTCATTATTCCTTATTCCATTCCTGTATATGTACATTATTTCCTTTATTAATAAAGTAAATAACTGTTTTGTTGTTGTTGTTGGTTTATTGAACAAATTTATCATAACATTCTTGTACAGTGTATTTAACAAGTACCCATTAAGTAAGACAACCACTAACATGAACTGACTCAAATGTTTGCTTCAGTTTCATGCCCATCGACAACCAGTGGACATGGTTAAGTTGCTTCAGTCAATTAGGGTTATAGATAAGGATGTGCCAAGGACAGACAGAGGTCAAGTTTATTTTGAGTAAGTAAACTCTCTTCTATTTTTTAGTCTTGAATAATAAATTTTTTATGTTATAATGTGTTAAAAAAGAAGCCACTGACAGAGTCTGGTCTTTGCAAGGTTAAAACAAGACTGCAGTAGTAACTTTAGTCTCTAGTAAGTGGTTGAAACTTGATTTTTAGCCAAAGGTAGTTGCAGCCAGAATTTACCAGATATGCGCATTAGATTAAAGGAGACACACTGATTTCTTTTGTATTTTCCTTTTTTTCAATTTAACGATGTTTAAGTGAACATTTATCCATTTCTTCCAAGGTGCACATCTTGTGTAATGTACCTATAAAACTAATAATAGAACTGTGTGACAGATTTGTGCATATTACTGAACACATTGTATAGTAGATTCTGGTTTGCTTGAAGTAAGGAAAGTCGGCTATATATCTAATAAATTCAAAAAAGGCTGCTTTGTCAATGGGGCATTGCTAATTGTGCATTGGGCATTTGGATATACAGAACTCACTGCAATAATTTGCCTTGGAGCAACCGCCTAACAATGGGTTCTGAGTGCGCACTATGATTGCCCAATGCCCAATGCCCAAAGCAACCGTTATTAAATCAGGTGTATTTACCAGAAGAAGGGCAATTTCAAATAGCTTTAATTTGTTATAAAATGTAATCACTTTGTTGTGCGAACTTTAAACATGATGTTCTTTATAGGGGAAAGGGAAACCAGAATCTCCTTGTTCTGAGGGATATTTTAATCACATATAGTGCTTATCATCAAGGTACAGAATTCAAAGATAGGTAATATCTAACGCTTATTTCTCCAGTACTTCGGCCCAGTATACTCACTTAGCTACGGATATCTATCATGCATATTTTGATATGTATGAACATGCCTTGTGTTCTGAATAAACTGGGTTGTCACTAGGGGTTGGGGGATTTCCCCATTTAATAGAGACCTTTAGATTCGAGGACGAAAGCAACTGCGAGTACGAGATTTAATTTCAGTTTTTTCGCGTATTTTAAAAAAATAGACACCCCGGAATTGTTCATTGTACTTTTTTACACCAGAAAAGTTAGCACTGTTTTCTTTATTGGATGAGGTTAAGCCCTCTCCCGATCACAAAATGATCAAACTTCTAACATTTGATGACTTGTTTCAGTCACTTCGACATTCTGGCTAAAAACTCGTAGTAGAATGACGATGGCCATCACATTTTCCCGCCAAAATCACGTTGGTTCGCGCGTGCACTACTTAGCATTGGGAAGATGTCGTTCTCCTAGTCGTTCTCGTCTTAGAATTCTTAGAATCTAAAGCTCTCTACTGTGAGATTGACCCTTGACTATTCTCACATTAAAAGAAACCTTAAGTTCTTCCGAGCTGCGCAATTCCGTACCTAATAATTGCCTACACTCAGCAACTTAAAATCTAAGTCATGCGTGACAGCCCTGGTAAAGATGCAAAACAAAAGAAAAATGTAATGTTTTTTTTTGTCGCCATGTATGAACTCATAATTTTGTTTCAATGAAGTGACTGTACTTAATTTCTGTGCTAGATGTAGGTTATGTTCAAGGGATGAACGACATCTTGAGTAGATTTCTAATCGTGCTGGGATCTGAAGCAGAGGCTTACTGGTGTTTTACTAATTATATGGACACTGTAAAAGGTGACTTCCTGGATGATGGAATGCTGAATAAAATTAGTACGTATTAGATTATTAACTGAATGGTTACTGTAACCTTGCACTGTTGTCACTGGGTCAAATCATGGCCTGACATTTTATTCCTCTCGCCAACAGGCAAATCTTTGCTCAGAAATTCGCCACTTGCATTTTGATTCATTAGAAACTGGTTAACATGTAACCTTGCACTGTTGTAAATTCACGGCCTGGCATAATGTTATTTCCTTTATTGCTCTTGCCAAAAGGTAAATGTTTGCTAAATCCACTTAGCCTGCGTGGCAGGCGCTTGGAAGTAGTGGGCGCAAAGAAAAACAGGCGCGCGAGAAGGAGACACGTCTCCCTCGCTCGCGCCAGAAGGAGACACGTCTCCCTCGCGCGCGCCCGTTCTCTCTTGCGCCCACTACTCATGCTAAAATCCACTGTTCATTTCAGGGGCGGATCTAGGGGGAGGGTGCAGGGGGTGCGCACCCCCCCCCCCCCCGAGATGACCTGCGGTTTTCCGATACAACTGGTATTCTGCGAAAAAAAAACTATGTGGTTTATTGGTGTTGAAGTAGAGCAAGAGACGAGTGCACCCCCTCCTAAAAAAAATCCTGGATCCGCTTCTGCATTTTGATACTAAAACATCACTAACAATATCAAAATATACCTATACGTTGTAAACGTAATTGCGAGAAGCTGCTAGTTATCATTAGTGAACTTGTATTGTATGTTTTTTGGATTCTTTTTCGACTTTTAACAAAGAGAAACTTGATGCCCATCTTTGTAGAGTGTTTATAAAGGATTAAATTAAAGCATTTAAGATTTTCGCTTCTCCTGCAGAACATGTTAGATTGTTGCTGAGAAAAATGGACGAACATCTTTACAATCACTTTGAAGCTCATGACATGGGTGACATGCTGTTTGTTCACAGGTACATTTATAAATATTGGCCCCCGTGAATAGTAATAACGACCTTTAGATGCGAAGACGAGGGCGAGTATGAGATTTGACTTAACTTTTTTTCGCGTATTCTCAAAGTTAAGACTTCCCGGAAAACCTTAGCACTGTTATCTTTAGTGAAGGAGATTACGCGCTCTCTTGTTTTTGCGACCATGACATTCGCGCTAAAACTCGTAGTAGAATGACGACAGCTACCACGTTTTCTCGCCAAAATGTTGGTTCACGCGGGAGTTCTACCTTGTATTGAGAAAATTTCGTACTCGTCTTAGAATCTAAAGGTCTTCAGTGATGAACGGAATGACAGAATGACAGAATAAAATAGCTTGAGGAAATGGTCGAATAATTTATTTGATAAGACGTTTTCATAAAACGAAATTCCATGCATGTAAGTGCGTCCTTTTGAACTATCGCTGCTTCCGAGCCTGTGAAAACATTGAAGATCAAATCTGAGGTACATGTAGGGCCTCCAACCTCGTTTTCACGATTTAGTTTATTTAAAAAGGATGTGAACGAGGGTGAAGCCAGTGCATACTCTGCCATGCCAAATTGGGACACTTTGCCTTAGGATTTCCTACTTTGTTCGTTATATTTTAATCACTTTTGTTTTTCTTTGGAAGGTGGCTTGTTTTGACTTTTAAAAGAGAGTTTCCATTTGAGGACGCGCTAACCATGTTTGAGATTATAAGTAGCCAGCATCTTGAATTGTCTTCAATGGAAGCTGAAAGAGAGCGCGAGAGACAAAGAGCTAAAGAACTAGAAAGAGATGGTTAGTGAGTTCATTAGTGATGTATTCATGAAATGAAGTAGGTGTATTATTACTTGAGTCTTACCGTGGCCTTTTATTCCCTGTTTTTGTGATAAGTGTCCTCTTTCCAAACAGAGTTACAATATCTATTCGATTAACCACCCTGGGCGCTTATTAAATTTTTGGACCTTGAGAGTGGGCGCTTTTTCGAGTTGGCGCTTATTAAATTTTCACCATTTTCAGCAAGTGCAGTATGTTTATTCTGCAACAAAACAGTAACAAAGCAAGGTTACTGTAAAATACTCTGAAGAAAAGTCCGTCTTCGAGAAAGTCTCTCACTTTTTCCATTTTAATTTCAATCTCATTGTCACTCAAGTCAATAAGTGAGTTCTCTGGTGCTGTCTCCTCGATGTCCGACATCGTAACGTCGGCAAATGGGTTCGTTGCCAGAGAAGCATGGAATCAATCAGGATTTGCAATTCGTGTATGGGCGCTTAACTTTTTCTGCCTTTAGGATGGGCCTTTTTTTTTAAGTGGCGATCGCGACCCACCCCCCTCTTCTTCACGCTAGACGTCAATAAATCTCCCGCGCTTTACATTTTGATACGCGCGCTTGACGATCCCTATAGAGAATTTAGAGGGTTTAGTAGCCTGAACATCACGCTTTTTAAGTTTAGAAGTGACGAAAAAGCGGAAATGGCCTGAGTATGACTACAAGTGGCAAAATCGACTTGATACATGTTAGCACGATAGTTACAAACCTGCCTGTTCATGTTTAAGTCTTAATTGTGCTTTTGTTGTTGTTGTTGTTGTTGTTGTAGGAGGGGAATTTCATGTTCAAGTGGTAGATATGAACACAAACTACTCATTCGAAGTGTTTGTATGCCTAGCTGTGTTAAAGGAATACAAGAATGAATTGCTGAAATCTTCAGAAATCTCATCGGTTTACAACACCATTCACAGGTAACTAATAAGTTTGAATAGTTTGTGAAAGTGCTATTATAATCGTTATCATTCTAAATGCTATAGGTTTAGCAACGGGACTGAACTTGTATCCTACATGTACAATTATACTTATAACAATACAACATTATACTTCCCGAATAACGCCGCTGAGATTTACGTTCGTAAATTTGTACACGTAGACAACATTAAAAGTCTTGATAGCAAATTATTTAATGACTTGTCCCTCGGGAGACAAGTTAATTTTGTTTCCGTAAAGGTGATGTTACCCGGGACGATTCGCAATGACGATTTTAATCGTAACACAGCGTTGCAACATTGTTGCGACATTGTTTTGAATGGTTACAACATTGCTGTTTTTCGCTAAAAATCGTCGTTGTAAATCGTCCTGTGTAAGTGAAAAATCACCTTAAAATCTCAAAATGTTCCTCGGCTCTGCCTCAGGAAACATACCCGGCGAGCAGAGGCTACATTTTCGCTGTCTGAGCTGGCGTGCGTAAAGTAGCTACTTTTCGCACGCCAGCTCATACCGCGAAAATGTAGCCTCTGCTCGCAGGGCACAGGAAACAGAGATTCTCAGGGAGCGAAATGAACTGTTTCCCTTGGAAACAGTTACCAAATGTACATGTTTATTGTTCATCCTTCATACCCGGGTCTTCGGGGAGTTTAAGTAGTGACGTTTTTGAGCGACGCACGTCGACCGAAAGTGGACTTTTTGCACTCTTGAAACTTGATTTTGTACAAATTTTGGGCAAATCGTCTCTTTAAGAATGAAGACACTTAGCAATACAAATAATGGTAGCGTCAAGGCTTATTAAAAGAGAAAAGGCTCACTTTCGGTTAACGTGCGTCGCTGGGGCTGTGTCACGGCAGTCCACTTCATTTTGTTTAATTTCGCCAATTACTCGCCCTCAATCGCTATAAGCAAAGTAGGCAAAGAATTTCATGTAAATGACAAAATCAGAAATTCGAGACTAACAAATATGTCTCCTGAGCATTATTTTTGAAGTTGCAAACAGCAGAGATGAACTTTGAAAAACTGTTAGGCTGAACAGTTTCCAAAAACCCTGTTTCAATCCGTTTCAATCTTCTTCGGTTTTGCCCATCCGTGGCATTTGTTGTATCTGTTGTGTTATTTTAATCTTCCTTTAATGTTTTAAGTGGTTACTTTTATGTTCCTCTTAATTTAACGAGCATTTTGTAATTACCTAATTTTGCTGAATTTCGTGACACAGCTCCTTTTTTAAGCTCCCTTTCGTTGTACTTAGTCCCTCTGTAATTGCTTTCCCTTTTAACGTTTGCGCTTTTTTCCTTCTGTTGCAGTTTATCAATGAAAATGGACCTGAATATTATTCTCATGAGAGCGGAAGAGTTATTTTTCAAATACTGCCGTAAATCTGTTGAAGACTGCTTTCAAGTGGTCGACCTCGAGAAGATTTCTTGACATCAGTCGATGAACTGATGATCCCTGAGCTTAATCCGTCGTTCCCCCCCCCCCAAAAAAATCATTTTATCACCAAATTCGAAAAAAGAGAAGTTCATTTGCCCTTTTTTGAAACTGTGTTACACAGTTTTACTTGATCGGTGATAACTGCATTATCAAACAACAAGCTAAAGGAATTTTATAGTTCAAAAGTTACAAGACAGATGCGCTCTTGTCAGAATGTATTTTACCTTGAAACAATGAAGGGACAATTCACAGCGACACGTTTGTTTTAAGAATTCATACGTAATAAAGTTGAAGTACTTACATCTAATTTATGTGACCACGTCCTTTAGCAAAAGGACGAAGAATATAAATTATAATGGGAAAAAAGAAAACAAATGGTAGTTCATTTATAGATTTACTGTTTTAAAAATATGCATAAGTATTAATTTGTTTTGTTTGACTCACAAAGTTATTTTGAAAGGTGAGCTTTACACATAGTATCTTTTAGATGTATATTAAATTTGTTTTGTATATATATACCAAAAGCGCTTTATTGCAGCCGAAAAAGACTATTTAGATTCCTCTTCTGCCTACCTTCTTTTGATGCTGTTTTTAAAATTATTTCGCCTAATCTTCAGGTAACAGGAAAGAGTTTGTAATATAGTCTTAGATGTTGCAAATAAAAATACAAATTTTGATGGTGACAAAGTATTTTTTTAGCCTTTTGTTAATAGATTTTTGAACTGCGAGATCGGTGATTTTAATACAATTTCGCTATAAACATTATGGGGCACGACGAGTTTTTACCAGCGATTTTCTCACCCATTGGTAATTACACTGTTAGGGGCTCTTCAGACTTAGTCAGCGTTCATATTTGGTTCCCGGACACGGTGCACGAGTACGGTACTCGCTGGGCACTAATGTGAACAGACCCTTTTTCAAGTACCCACGCTAGAATTCGAGCACGGTGTCTTAGTACAAGGTCTCGACCTTGTACTGGGGTCCCTGTGTGCAGACAATTTTTGTCATTTCCGAGCAGTCCACTGCTTTGTTCTGACGGGGAAAAATGGCGTAACTATGTACACAGTCAAAGGGTGAACACAACACCATTTTGTGCCGGTACCCAGGCACCGTTTCCCGAGCACCAAGTGTGAACAGCCCATTAGTGCCCAAGCAAACTAGTACCTGGGCACCGGCATCTTAACAAAATTTCGGCGTGGGTACGTGTGTTCACTTAGTGCACAGCGAGAAGCGTACTCAGGCACTATGCGTGGGCAACAGTGTGGACGCTGCCTAAAAGAATTCAGGGAGAATTTTTTGTCAACTAGACTAAGGCAGCGTTCACACTTGATGCCAGCGCGCGGTGTTCGAGTACGGTACTCTCTGGGCTCTATTAAATTTTTTCAAGTACCCACGCTAGAAACTCAGGCACAAGGTAGCAAAGGAAACATAAACATTTTTCGTGGTTTTTATTGCACATAAGTAGGAGGCGTTGTAAGCCTGCATTGAAAACTGATTTGAACCACCATCTTTATCTTTGCTTCATGTTCTTGCGAAATTCAGTGCCACCTTGAAGAGAACAAAATACAGGAGATTTCAAAAAATGTGAACCAGAATAACTAATCACTGTTGCTGTCAACTTTAATTTGTGAGGTTTATACTGTTACATTTATTTATTGACGCGATTTTTAGCTTATTAAAGAAAAATAAAGTTTGATTTGTTTCGAGGCTCGGCATGTTGCCTCTGAAATTTGTATTTTACCTTCTTCCGCGATAGCTTCTCCACTTACCTGAATCTCAAAGATGGCATTGATATCGAACGGCCAAATACTTTTTGGTCCAAGGGCAAGGGTCTTCAAACTCATCATCCGTGGCGTGAAGCTCGCATGATGATCGACCATTACAGACCTCTTTAACCTACAAGTACACAAGAGGAATAATGCATTAAGAGAGCAGGGAAAAATAATGCATTAAGAGGACAGGGGAAATCCCTGTGACAGGGACAATTCACTCATCAATGCGGGAAATTTTTGCTTGTGGAACGCCGATCCCTGGGTTTTGAAATCCGGAATATAGCAAAAGGAATCCGGAATCCTACTAAAGATTATCCACTCCAGTGACAAAGACTAGAATCCGGAATCCACGGTGTGGAATCCAGAATCCAAGTCGACTGTCTTGGATTCCCCTTCATGGGGCGAGCATATGGACAACCCTCGAACCAAAAGTTAAGCCAAGGAATATTTAGTGAAAATCAAGAGAGGATAAAGGGGACAGAGAAGGCATCCCCCATACACACCCTATTCCATAGGTAATTCGTCTCGAGTTATTTTTAGAATCGAGATAGAGTTACCTCGCGTGCTGCGTGAATGTTTCGTGGAGGTTTCGCATGACTAAACGCCATGCAAAACATGTCAGGCGAAAGGCAATGAAAGCGTAAAGAGATTGAGAGCATTTCTGAATATTGAAGCGAAATGAGTCGGCGCTCACCTGGGAAAAGGGAATCGCTCGACTCTTTGACAACCCGTGAAATCAGTTTAACTCGAAGTTATCGTAACCTCATTGCTTTAATAAAATGAGAAATTTCGCCGGTTTATTGAAACCGGTCGTTTGTACAATGTAGCAAGTAATATTCATGTACATGTAATTAGTTTTACAAATCTGAATTTTATTGTAGTTTTTTTTTAAGTTGTTAAGCGCTGTTGATCAGTGAATGTAAATAGCGCTCTAGAAGTTATTAAATTATTGTTATTATAGGACGCCAAGTGTTATCTTTGTTTAATAATAAAAGACTAATAAAAGAATAAATATCAAACCAGAAATTGCTCTCTTCAAACTGTAAATTATAAATGATCCTGAGAGAATATTCACTGTGTTAAGGATTTCCCTGCTGTACTGTTAGCTCTATACAAGAGAGGAAGGGCGATTCTTTTTTAATTTACGTTTCGCTGACACAGCTTTAGCAGAAATCTCTCTTTAGCCGTTTTCGTCGACAAAATGAAAAGCAATATTGCTCTCCGCGTCTTCCCCCATTTTTTTCTGCCTCAATTCGTGAAGGACGCGTGACTCTGAGCGTGGGTAATCCACGCGGAACACATTCGCGCTATGTGATTGGCTGTTGTCTAATCCCCCTTGGGATCTGTGGCCTTAAAAATAACTCGAGACGAATTATCTATGGAAAAGGGTGTGTATGGGGGATGCCTTCTCTGTCCCCTTTATCCTCTCTTGGTGAAAATACATTATTCTCACTTAATTTTGCAAGTATTAAATTTCGCGATTTGGGAAAAAACTTTAAAAAATTTAAGACTCGCGAAGATTAAAATCGCGAAAGTTGATACCAGACATATCCATAAAATAACCAAGTTCAAATTAAACTGTTGCTTTTTTATTCCCCAAAAGCGGCGAAATTAAATACTCCCGAAATATGGCTCATGATTTTTCGCGAAATTTAATACTCGCGAAATTAAGTAAAAATAAGGTATAAGGATTCGAAAACGAGACTGACCTTTTCAAAAGAAGAAGTACTTTCGCATTTTGTATTTAATCCAAACCCGCAATGGTTTTGATATCTTTTCCTTCCGTAATTTGCGTAAATAACTTTAATTTTCCTTCCACCAAAGCAGATAATCCGTCCACTTTTACCTTCGCAGATTTCAGCGAAAAAAGTTGTTTCATCTGCAGTTTACAAATAGATAATTGATTGATTAAGTTATCAGAAAAGGAAAACTATGGCGTAACAAAATTAATAAAGTATCGTACAGTGGCTACGCTAGACTTGTGGATAGATAGATACATACATAGTTCATTCACAAGTAATTACATGCAAGCCAAAAGCTGGATTGCGTAATTAATACAATATTAAAATACGATAAAAGAAACATATATTCGAAAAAATCTAAAAATTTTGCCTCATTAGCATATCATATAACTGCATATTTCGTTCATTAAAAACTTGTCATAGAAGGAAAAAAAGTTTGCTTAAAACGATTGGTACTAGAGGGCAGTGGGGAAAAGTGCTATGTCCGTGTCCGGGATAAAGGAACAAGTTTACAACCTTCCCATCCACCCTTAGTTCTTGAAAATGTGGAACTCGGTGATATGTCCACCATTCTCTTCCCAGTTGATTCATTCAAGCGTATACGTTTAAAAGTAACCAAGACAAACGAAATTGTCCGTGATCGGGGGTCCAAAATATACGCATTCATCGATCTTCCGGTCAATCCCCTCAAGTAAACACACCCCCTTCCAATAATTTTGCGAAGAAAAAAACACCCCTGTAATTTCCCTAAAACTGAATGGCCAGTAAATGGAAATGGAGGGAAGCTGAACGGTTTTTAGATTTTTACGTCTACAAAATGCTTTGATATATCAAAGATCAACGTTTTGCGTAATAAAATATTTTCATAATAATGAACTGGAAAGGATTTAAGAGTAGAGAAGTGGGCTCAGAGGCAAACCTTGGGTCCTGGCTCCACCTCCTTGCTTCACCCAAGATTGTGGCAAGGATGCAAAAAATTGTTTACAGAGCAGCTGGGTGTGGAACGGTATATAAGTAGGAGACCAGCTATTTTAAAAACATATTCGGATATTCAGATTTTCATTCACTGAATCTGAATCCATTTATTTTTTATAGGTTTTCGCCGCCACGTGATGGGAAATCCAAATCCAAATCCTAACGCCTTGTTTTTGGCAAAATAAATTCCTTATGAACTATAATAGACCTTTCTCGCATTCCGCTCCAGTCAGCAAACTTCAAAAAAATAAGGTAGAGACTAGGGTGAATAATTTCATACAAATCACTGTATTTTGTCCACCCAACCTCGAGTTGGTGCCTTTGTTTTACAGCAAAGCAGGAACTGTCTATTGTCTACGTGTAACAATTCATTATATTTAATAGTTTAGATCCAGAAATTTGCGTTACCCTTATTCACCGGGAGCCTATTACCAGTATTCACTCATTCGTGCCCATTCATTACTTTTTTTATTAATTCCTTTTAACTATGACCAAAATTTATCCATATTAAGTAGTTGTTTGTTTACTCTCCCCAGCATTAATTATAAATCAGAGGATATAATCAGTTAAGCAGGTAGTCATTTCCATCAATCAATCAATTTATTAGTGTCAGTAGAGTAGGATAGGGTTGCCCGATGAAAAAAAGAAAAAAAAATCAAATGTATAAGACAATGACTATATCAGGGAATGTAAAAAAATGATGATATGTATCTATATATAAGAAGTACTCAAGTAACACACTCCTGCACCCCATTTACTGAGTATAAACAACAGCAATCTCACTTGCTGAATAATATATCGATTGTGAACATAAAATAAGATATACAACAACTACATTAGTAGCTGGCCTTTTAAACATAATGTACTTCTCAGGGTGAAAAAAAAATGCTGTATCGAAGATAATGCGCATGCCGAGATGCATATAGTTAGAACAACCCACTGGGCGTGATATTTATCATGACTTACTTCCAGGGCAGTTGTACATGAGGTTTATCTGCTTCACGTCCAAAGTACTGAGGTAATCTCGTTGGCCAATATACCTGACAGGGATCTGCAGCATGTTTGGGTATAAATTTGAGTAACAAAGTTGAGTGATCGAATAACGAAGCTCACGAAAGCAGTCAGTTTAGCCTGGAGGTAAAGCCTACATTACTCCGGTCTGTTCACTTTAGTCTAGGCTTTCAGGATCTTTCAGATACTAAGGGAGGTGCAACAAGGAGAACAGAGCGAGTAAAATCGACGAGATACCCAAATCGTTCACTTCCTTACACCGTATCAAGATCTAACAGTTGCCGTAACAGTCAAACAAATTAACCAGCCAAATTAATGACCCTTTAAATCCCTTTTGCTATCAGAAAAAATGGCCGTCAGTCTACAAATTCTGAATCAACAAGTTAGGAAATGATAAAAAAATCATATAGCAGAACGTAATTTTAAAATTACAGATCCTTGAAAATCGACTCTTTAAGGACTGTCCTTGATAGATCGGAACGAACTCCTTGCATAGAAACGGTAGTGCCTAAGGAATGCGCAGCCGCAGAGGCTAAAATCGTTATCTCTTAAAAGGTCGTAGAGATATTCTTTAACGATAATTTTTATACGCTATAGCAAGTAGCTATAGCAAGGTTGAAAAGCGATTATTTATGACTTTTTATGAACATCAGAAATAATCATAAATGAAATCATAAATGAAATACGCAACTTCTGTTTTGGGCCAAAACTCTTCGTCTTATGGACGATTTATTTTATCTTATTTTATTCCTTATTGATGAAATAGTGACTCTTCTCTTTTTCTAATATGGTGTTGCCCATTTTCCTTTTCCCATGGAGGTTCGAAAACTGGATCAGGATTTCAATGTACAATTTACTGTTCTCTCTCACCCTGTTGTATTTATCTGTGATAGTGGGTTTCTTGTTCTTTGTAAATGCGTACGATGAGAAGTGCATGATGGAGGAGTAATCATACGGGGTACCAAACGGCATCCAAGACTGCATCTGCGCATACGTCATCTTATTAAAATTGGAAGACTTCCCTAAACATAAAATGTTGATAACAGTATTTGTTAATAGATGAAACCCTCCACAATTCCTTCTAAATATTTTTATTTTCGCTAAGAGTGAATGAATTGATTTTCAATTTATTTCAAAACTATGTGGTATTGTTTTTAGGTTTAAAGGGAACCTCCACTGAATAAGTTTAAATCGAATAAAATTATGTTGATAAACAAATTTGTTCGAAATTTGTCTTAAAAAAAGTGTTTATATCAGGTATTTTTTTTCAAATTTCATGGGCGCCGCCATCTTGAATAATTGTGGTTTTGCTCTAACACAAAGAGCAGTTTATAACAATAGGGCAACCAATATATGTATTGACGGATAATGCAAAAATAGAATTTTATTTTATTTCGATCGCTCGCTGTTGGAGAAATTAGGTTGAAGAGGTTCCTTTAAAAACACTATCATCAGACCATTTTCCCAGCAAAGATTTATTTCTATGGGTAGAGGAGGTAGAGCAGTACAGAACAGAAGAGTACATGTACACAGTCACCAACATGTGATCCTGTCTTACCAGGGCGAATGTTTTCGTCGTGAATTGTGATATACATGTCTCGATCAGGCCTGGCTTGTTCATGGAAGAAACCTAAAGCATGTCCTGAAAAATGATGTGTAAATACACCAGATCACTCTTTTGAATAGAACCTATCTAAAACCTCAAAATATTAATAATTCTGGCTTAAGTTTGCTTGTCAAAAAATTCCAGCCTTGAGCAGATCTTATATAGAGGATTTAAGGAAACATGAACTTTCCCTTCACTTGTATATATATTACCCGAAAAAAACCCGTAGATATATGTTGAAAAACACCATCATAACCGTCCAAAAGTTCAAGTTGATGAAAGGAACCACAGTATTCCTTTTGCTTTAATACCTCTCTCTACATCAATAGCGGTAACAAGACAAATTTGGCTTTTCTGTTTATACAACACTACAGCTAGTACAGTGTATAGAATGGCTAATTCTTACAAACTTTTGTGGAGATCTTTGAGCATCTTTTCAGGTCTCAAAGTGTTGGTTTGGTATCATAGTCAAGAAGGGATGATTTCTTTTAGGATCGATCACATGGGGCAAAACAATCAATCTATAGAAATCGTCCTCGCAAAAGGCGCGCTATACGAGGCGGGGTACCTCAGAACTCGGTGTGTCCTAAAAATAAAAGATAACGGGCGAAAACTACGGTGCATACACCTCCCACTCCCACCCCCACCCCCCCCCCCTCCCCCACCCCCGCCTCCAACAATATTTACCTATCTCGTGTAGTATTATTCCTTTATAAAAGCAGTCTAGACCGAGGCTAAGAATCTGCTTGTTTCCTTGGTAACCGACGTAAGAATAGCACCTAAGGAAAAAAGAAAGTTATACATCTTGGCCAGTGAACAATATTATTCATCCCTATGTGCATAAAGATGCAAACGTTTAGTTATTCAATCTCCTCACAAGAGCCTTCATTATCCTTGTCTGGCTGAAAAGGCAGTGCTGACCAAAAGGATCACAGACACTGGTTACGAGATTGTTCCTAATCTTCAAAATGTTTGCCGTGCGGGTCAATCCATCTCGGACCGGTCACGTAAAGTGGTCGAAAAATGGGTGGTGTGTTTAGGTCCTCACTAAAACGTCGCATCGGAAAGTATCAGGTCATAGGCGGGAACATTTCGGAAAACCAAGGGCAGACAGTCGGGTCGGGAGAAACAGGCGCGACGAAAAATTTCTTGAACACTTTCGAAGCGTCCCTTGACCCGACCCAATTGACTGCCTGCCCCCTGGGTCTCCGAGCTGTCATACTTATTAAATGCATCTCGTGGACTCCTTGGCTGAATCCCTTAAGCATTTTGGGGGTTGTTTGGTGTCGCAGATGGTGCACTTTCAAATGTCTTAACAAAACAGACCTGGTTCCAAAGAGAATATTAAATAATACCTTAATTTTAACCAACAATACTTCCCGTACACCAAGACCTATCGTCAGTTGCTTTGAGGCTTCATTTAACTTAAAAGGTCGAACAAAGTTAAATGTCAAGCCTTCCTATTAAAATATTTTTGTGTCCTCTGCTCTTTGATGTACTATACAAAAAGCCATTTCATCATTATAAAACCTTTAAAACTTTAAGGATATTCACCCCTTTCCATAGAGAAACATCAGGTAGGCTGTCTCGGTGGTCCTTGGTTTAAACTTTATGCAACTATAGTGTTCCCACTCCATGAAAGCATGTTTGATCAACATTGAAAGAGAGGTTGACGCTGTTCACAAAAAAAAAAAAGATTGATAAAATATGACGCTTAAAACAGGCAGTAAAATTATTAAGTAAAACTGAGTAATTTGCTAACCGGTGGGGTGGAGCTGCGGAGGCTACCAAAGATTATTGCAAGGAACTAAATCATCTGCAGGTCCTTACTACTCTACCCTAGCAACCAGCCGAGTTTTCTTTCCGGCATGGTTTTTAGTGTTTTCGAAGTCGACAAGCCACTCGGGCGACTTGGTAAATGTTAACCGCCATGAAGGAATTGGAATCCCGGTGTTTGCTCGCAGGGTATACTACACGCTCAGGTGTCCGTTCAATTATTAAACACGGAAAGAAAATATATACACCCAAGAGAGTATAAAGGGCTTATACTATTGTTGTCATCAGGAAACTATTTAATATTCCTTGTTAAATGGACCAACTCTATGTACCAGAGTGACCCTTTTTACTTAAAAAGGGAATCAGAAAGGGCAATTTATTTAACTTCTATCAGTGACTTTGGGGGAGTTCAGAAAAACTCAAACTTCCAAAAGAGTTACGTTAATAGAAGACAAAGGATAATCCGACGAGAAAGAGGGAGGGAGCCTGTTCATGTCGAGCTGTACCAAGAGATCAAACTTATCACAAAATAATTTTGGCTATTCAAACCATTATCAGGACACCAATCAAATGCCGAATCCTAAGCTAAATGTGACGGTTTATTTTAGTAGGATACTGAGAAAATCAAAATTAGTAAAATATACTACATTGTAAGTGCAAAAAAAGAACAGAACAAATTCATTGCATTTACTTTACTTTTTCAACACAAAGGAGTATTAACTTTTAATTTCTCTCTGTTAATTCTGTTGACACGGAAGAGTGCGCATTATGTGAGGTTCTTGATATGCTGTTTATGAAGGTGACGGGTTTTTTAATTATCCTCTGACCAGTTATTGGTTTTCAATTAATCGCAGGCTCAGGCTTATCTTTTTAAGGACGAATTCAGTTTGTTTATTGCTTACTACAAAAGTTGAATAACTTGAGAAAGACATATAATTTATTAAAAGATCCCACCAGAGCTTCGTTTTTGACCTTTTACTTAATTCGTATATCATATTGCTGGCAGTCTATTGTTTCAATATTGTTTCTTCATCTTACCAATTTCCTTTGAAAAGACATATGGTACCACGCCTCCAGGCCAAAGGATATCACCAAATCCTTTTGTTGTTCCTGATCTCACGGCCGTTTTCTGCGCTTCATTAAGAAGTATGTCACCCTGATATAGACCTTCCACTCCCTCATTTTCTTCCATGCAAAACATGAAAAATAATAATTGTAGTAATAAGTATGGAAACATCTCACGCGAAACCGTATTTTATATCTCCTTTATATAGCAGTCGTGGCAAGGAACGAGATTGCATCTTGGGCGTTATACAATCGATCAGGAAAATCCTCTTTATTTTCACTGACGACACAAATATAATGAAGTCCTGTCTCTTAATCTCTTAAATGCTTTAGTCAGCAATTTCAGGTGTAATTACAACAGCAGAGCTGATTCACAAAAACTATATAATGTGTATTCCCCACTTCCCGCACTCACTACCCAATAGATACTCCCTATCTCAGCGCGAGTATGAAACAGGACCCTGAGTAATGGGCCCTTCTAATTAAAAGTAGTATATCCGGTACAGCGAATGATAGCGTCTTTTCCTACCTCCGGAAAGTATGAAACAGGACCGGTATAACGAAGGTACCCTTCTCTGTAGTGTTTGCCTGATAAAGCGAATAAACTTAACCGCTAGTAACTGAAATTATGACGTATTACTTCCATAACGAACCCGCCTATACGTAGTTGAATATCTATTCCTGGTAAAGGGAATGATATTCCTAACACTAGTGAAATTACGAAACGACGCGAACTACATTACCAGCCGCATATTCCCACCCCCAGGAACTTCGTCAAATAGGTTCCTCGTGTTACATTTACTGTTTCAATAGGAATGCATCATTAATACCTTCAGGCATGTTTCCCTCTGCTGTACATAGGAAGCCGGAAAAGATTAAGAAAGTAGGAAATATGTTCACCATTTTCACCGGACCAACACCAAAGTGTGACAGTAATGCACTGGACTTTCAAGCTACGTAATCTCTATTCGTTTGTTTGATTTCATGTAAAAAAAATAGCGCGCAAAAGGAAAGAAAATATTTGTTTGACGGTGCAATATCATCTGAGTAAACAATTTATCGACTGAATCGAAAATAATCGCAATTTTATATTTTGTTGACACATGATGTTGACCTAAGCTAAGTAATACAAACATTATTACCAAATTGTTTCGCCTTCTGTTTTTGCTTCTATGAAATTTATCCATTGCCCTGTTGATTTGAAATTGAATTTCTAGTTTTCTTGATAAATTTTGTAGTGGAAAATAGAGATTGAAGTTTAAAAAGGTAACAACAGTAAATAATGTGTTCTACTAACGTCTGAGGTTTCTTCCAGAAGGTTTTAAAAAATGTTGTCGATCGTTAGTTAATTTTTTGGAATTAATTGCATCCTTAATTTTCTTTCTCGGTGTTTCTTAGTATCTTGAAAATCCTTCCACAGAATTTAATTTACTCGCTCATTCTGCATTGAGTCTAAGGTCCATTAACACAACATCATGAAAACTCATTTAATTTATTTTTTTTCATTTAAAACATCCAGAACTTGCTAACTTGTCCTCCGACTGTCATTCTAAACGTGCTTGTCATAATCGCTGTTAAGACCAAACCAAGACTTCAGACTATGCATCACTTAATACTGGCCTCTATGGCAGCAACAGATTTGGCGGTGGGAATAGTCATTCAGCCAGTGTTCATCGCAAGAGAAATTGCCCGACTTACCGATGGACTGCTTTTGGTGTATTGCAAACTCAGCAAAATATTAATGGTGACAACATCTCTCCTTTGCCTAACGTCATTTTTTCATTTGGTGATGATTGCCTTAGAACGCTCGGATAGCAATTAAATATTCCTTAAACTACAACAGCATTTTGACAAAACGGCGTTTAGCTGCTGCTATCGCATTGTGCTGGATTTTTGCAGCAATTTGTTTGACTATCAGACTTATAACTGTAGCCCTTATTATACGAATTATTTTAGTTATCACTATTCCATGGATTTTTTACTGTCACTTTTCCGTTTATTTTGTTTGCCGCCGTCACTTGAATCAGATTAAATCTGGGCAAACATCCGGGGAAGCCACCGCAAAGTTTTTAGTAGATCAAAAAGCGTGGAAAACAACCACTATTATTTTAGGCTGTCTTCTTGTATCTTTTTTGCCAGAGGTTTTGCGCACTGCAGCGTTGCAACTATTTCCTTTTCCAATGATGAGTATTGTAGAGCCAATAGCATTTTCTTGTGTCATTTTGAATTCATTTTTTAATCCTGTTATTTATTGCTGGAGAAGCCAGATCATTCGTCAAGCATTAACACAACTTGTGAGAAATAAACTAAACAATGTTTAGAAGATGAGAAATAAATGAAATGACCAACTTATTGCAACAAAAGTATGTTCAATTTTATATTTTAAAATTTTAAAGTCCTAATCTTTTGAAGTTTACTTGTAATAAATAGTACTATTCAATTCTCTAATAGAGCAAAACAAAAAACAATTTTAAGAACGCTTTCCCCTTTCATATCTTAATTTTACTCGCTCCGTTTTTTTTGCCAGTTTTTCCTAGGTCTAGAAAATCCTTACATGGACGCTCATTAACTGGTTTGATAATTTAGTCAGGTCAGTTCATTTAGGTTGGCAAAGTGATGTTTTTCAATTTTTTTTACTTGTGCTATAATATAATTTTTGTCGTTCGTTTTTCAAGTTTTACCTTCGTTTTATTTAAGACCAACATGTATTTTGCAAGTTCTACATTCGTTTTATTCTATTCAACATGTATTACTCAAGTTCGACATACATTTTTTACTTTCAGTATTCCTTTTTTTTTTTTTTTTTGTTTTCCAGAAGAATGCATTACTCTTTACCAGGAAAGTGTGAAACATTACGCCAGTATAACGAACCCCTCTATACTAAGTGGGTTATGGGTTCCCGTATATACCCAGTAATGCGAAGATTCTTAATCCCAATGAGAGTATGAAACTGCACTACCCCCACATAACTAACCCTTCTATACTAACTGGTATCAATTAATATGATGTCTCTATTGGTCAGTAAGTTCAAAATGATAGGAGTGCTATTGAACGTTGTGCACGGTCAGATTCAAAAAAGCTTACCAGCTGACGTATATCAAAGGAGTCTAACGGGTTTCATAACCATTCCACTTTAATAACTATAGTTAAATATAGGTTTGACAAACCTATGAGTTGGTGCCCAAATTTGGAACTCTATTCCGTATTCGATTAAAATACTTAAACGTTCGTCCTTTCGTAAAAAAATAAAGGAATTATTACTAAATTTTTTGCGGTCAGAAGATGATTATGTCGAAGTCTCCCGTCTTATTAAGTTATTTAATACTTATGTTATGTTATGTACATGCCTTGTTTTATGTTAGTTTAAATTCTATTTACTGTATTGTAGTGTCTTCACTGTTATTTAGTCCGTCTATATATAAATCTTGTTTTGTAATATGTCTTCAGCTCCCCCCGCCTCGATTAGTTCCTAAGCTGTTTGGGGGTGGGAAAGTAATGTAATTAGTTATTTTCCAATTTTCAATAAAATTTGTTGTTGTTTTGTTGTTGATCGTGAAGTGGAGAAATATCTATCCCACGACTGTCAAATTGACCGCAACCTTTTTCTACCTCTTCTTTTGCCAAAACGAAAAAAAAGCAAAAGACCACTAAGTGTCATTGCACTAGTACGGTACGTCTTCTCAAAGTGACCGTTTAGTAAAGGTGAGGAATTTGTTGGCAACTCGGAAAAGAAGGCCACGACCGCCTAATGCAGGTGACTGTTTAATACAGGTCAGTTTTACAGAAAAATAAATAAATGCACTCGTATTTGAGCGTCAATGTATTTTGGTCATCTGGGAAGGTCTAGCCGTTTGCAGGGCAAATAAATAAAAGGCAGTACCTTCATTTCTCAATAGGCCACGTGAACTAAGAGGTCAAGTGACCAATGCTTCCTTTAAACAATGAGTTGGAATCTTGCAAAAAATTGATAGAGCACATAAAATTATCTTACACCCGAGATTTGAGAGGAAACGCATTTGTGGGAGATGATTTTATGGCACTTTTTCAACAGAGTAGTATGATTTGTGTTGGCCGCCATGTTGGCCAAAACTACTCTCTGCTTATATCTTGTTAAACGTTTGATAGTTACGCTCAGATGTGCTGTAAACGTTACCTCATCATCTTTTCAACATTTTCATTGATAATTGCAAAATTTGTGTCCAGAAGGAGGTAATTCATAATTTTAAAAATCACATTTTGGTCACGTGATCCGCTACGAACTTACTTATTTTAAGAAAATGGTGCAGGTTTGAAATACCAAATCACCATAATTGTTTTGTTTAAGATATGACCCACTAATCGTTTTTCAAAGGCAAAAGCAAATAACTTTCACTTTCAATGTCACATGATCTCTTAGTGCAAATGGCCTATTGCTTCAAGACCCCGAGTATTGGTCCGGCCCCGGGAATCGATCGAACCCGCGACCTCCTGCTCTGCCGTCAAGCGCTCTACCGACTGAACTAATCCTGGCGCGGTTATTTCAGGTCAGGGAACTTAGGACAAACGCTTAATAGAGGGTGACCGCTTAATACAGGTTTGACGATAATTTTTAGGGAACACTATGATTCGGTATACCCTGGGTGCCAGAGACTTTTTATGGGCGGATTCCGTGACCGGCTTCACTCCTAGTGACTTCGGCCTGCGGCGAACAACAAAGCATTCACCCACACATGAGAAAAACCTTTGGTACCCAGGCAGATTCGGTGAACAAAGGGCCTCCCGGAGGCCAGATTTTTTTCTAAACTTGATCTAACAACTTTTTTTTTGATCCGCAGTGCGGCTAAGAGTCGTTACAGCCTTAAATTTTTGCCTGACCAGATAAGAAGTAAGTTTGAAAGGCGGTGACCTCTCTTGAAGCTACATTAAACCGGGCAACAAACAATTCGTTTTGTAACATTGCTGCAAAAAGATTGTAGGAGTTGGTAAGATCATATAGAAATGATCTGAAGGGAAACAAAAGTTACTTCGAGTTCGCGGGAGTTTCGAGTCAATCGAGGGATCGAGTTACCGAGGGCAAAATTACAGTAAATGTCCAGAGGAAATCGATCTTGGTTCGAGTTTGCGCAAGGTTCGAGCTTGCCAGGGTTCGAGTTATCCGGAGTCAACTGTATGTACCGACAGGGTGGGAGTCGCGGTTTATAGCGATGCCTTCGCGTTTCGCAGCTCGTCCAAGATTGGGGACCCGTAACGCAAAAGAGCTCATCCGATCTTACGAAAAAAGAGGGCACTGTGAACTTCTAATCCACGTACTAGTGATTTCTTACGAACTTAAACTAGGCAAGATGTCAGCTTCAAACAGCGGTCGACAAACATTTTCCATTGTCTGTTGCATTTTTTATCAAGAATATGCATAATTGCGGGATGTAACTTTACAGTGAACGATGCATTCACAATTTATATCAAACAACTCCTTTTACGTTAGCCGGAGATTCAATAAATTTTTTTCCTTTTTTTTTTTCCATCATTTTCTGTAAAGAATGACCGCGGCTGCTCCTTAAAATTGGCTCAGGAAAAAGCCGTGTGAGCTTTTCAGTTGTTTAGAATTCTGACTCAGCATAAGTTACAATTCGATCCCCATGCCATTCCGCACTAATTTGGCTTTTTACTATTACTGATTTTGCAATTTTGTACATTTTAACAGCTCTCCGTGTTTTATTTTAAATATCTGAAAAAAACTTTAGTCGCTCTTATCATTGCTATTTTGTTATGATAATTCATTGTTTGTGGTATTATAACAAAATTTGAAATCTGCCATAATAGGTTGTGTAATTGGGGCAGAACTATGAGTTCAGCTGTACGTTCGCAACGAAAAAGAAAGCTACATTTCATAAATATTCTTAAAACATCAAAGCCTCTTAATCCAACTTAATTTAGTCTTAGCAACTTTAGCAACAAAAATGTTCTATAAGCGCTTAACCAACGAATTATGTTAATGTCGTCGGTGCAGTGAACATCCATTTGCGAGTACGATCCTTTTCACAGAGATAACCTGTAAAGAACCGGCAGCTGGTTTCGTTCAAATTAATCGCAATATTACAGAGCGATCCCAGAACTAGTGTAATTGCAACATTTAAATACTTCGGGCAGAGACTCCCTTTGATATGAACGACACTTCTAACCATTCAGTAGCAGTCTCAAACGCTGTCAGCTGTGACTGGACATTTGATGATCAGTTTGTGGATAACCTTTTTTCTGTGCTTTCCATCATCCTGAACTTGTTAACATGCCCTCTGACTCTCCTTCTAAACACGCTGGTCATAATCGCTGTCAAGACAAAACCAAGACTTCAGACTATGCATCACTTAATTCTGGCCTCTATGGCAGGTACAGATTTGGCAGTGGGTATAGTTGCCCAGCCAGCATCCATCGCCAGAGAAATTTCACACCAAACAGGTGGATCGCTTTTGATGTACTGCAACCTAAGCACATTGACCATGATAACAACAACTCTTCTTTCCCTGACGTCTCTTTTTCATTTGGCGCTAATTTCCGTAGAGCGTTTGATAGCAATGAAATATTCCTTAAGATACAACGACATCGTGACAAAACGACGTTTAACTGCTGCTGTCGCATTGTGCTGGCTTTTTGCTGCAATTAATTTGACTATCAGGTTAACTGTAACGCGTATTACAGACGTTTTTGTGATGATCATTACTCCAATGATTTTTTACTGTCATTTTTCAGTTTATTTTGTTTGTCGTCGCCATTTGAATCAGATCAAATCTGAGCAAACCTCCAGGCAGGCCACAACAAAGTTTTTAGAGGATCAAAGAGCTTGGAAAACGACTGCTATTATTTTAGGTGGTCTTATTTTATCGTTTCTGCCAGAGCTTTTGCGCAACGTAGCCATGCAACTATTTTCATTTCCATTATTGAATAGTATAGAGCCAATAGGATTTTCTTGTGTTCTTATAACTTCATTTTTTAATCCTGTTATTTACTGCTGGAGGAGCCAGATTATCCGTCAAACAATCATGCAGCTTATAGGAAAGAAAGTAAACAACGTAGGATAAACTACAAAATCTATCCTGCCGAATTTTTGAAACTACATGAAAAAGCCCGAAGAATATTCGCACAGCGGAAACCTGGCTAACTAAAGGTTTTTTGTTGCTGGGTTGGAAATTTTCATTGGGGGCTTGCCGTCTTGGTCGGTCTGCACAGGTCTACAGGTAAATAAAACACTCTTGAAGGCAAAACTACAAAGACAACCAGTGAGGGTCCGCTGGATCTTTAGTAGACCAGGATCAGTAAAATCTTCGATACCAAATTTCAAAATTAGAGCTGCAGTGAACTGATCCCTACGGCAGGAAGAGTGATAGGAAAAATAAATGAAGAAAACAGAAATAAAATGGTGAATTATACTTGCCCTAGAAACATGATTGTAAAGAAGTTGGCATGCAAAACGTGAACCAGACAGAAGGTCACTGAATATCATTCTCAAATGACTCACTGACAATATCACACTTTTGCAGCACCCTTCCCGCTTTAGCGATTTACCACTTCAATTTCAACAACCAACACTTTCTTGAAATCCACGGGACAGCTAAGGGAACGCGAATGGCATCTTCATACGCTAACTTATTCATCATGGGAAAATTGGAACAATCTGCAATCGAAAACGACCCTTTCAAACCTTACGTCTGGTGGAGGTTTATTGATGACATCTACATGGTGTGGACAGAAGGAGAAGAGCATCTTTAAACTTTCCTACATCATTTAAACTCTATCCATCCAACAATCAAATTTACACACGAATATTCAAATTCTTCACACCAAAGTCTTCCCTTCCTAGATTTACATGTCTATCTCGACAATAGCCCAGTAGAAACTGATCTCCACACAAAACCCACAGACAAGCACCAATATCTTCTAAAAACAGTCCTGCCATCCTACCCACACAAAGCGGCCATCGCTTTCAGCCTCGCCTAACGTCTGCGTCGCATCTTCTCCTGCACTGACGATTTCTTCAATAAACGCTGCACTGAACTTATGAACTTTCTGGAACTACGAGGATACAGCCGCCACTTTGTTAAAAAAGAAATTAACCGGGCACGTATCATCCCACGTCAAGAAACTTTGAAACCGCAACCACAGAAAAAAAACGGAACTCCCTTTGTCATCACATATAATGCAGCTCTTCCGAACATTTCCACCACTGTCCGGAAAAATATAAACATTCTTCAATCATCCAATCGCTACAAACAAATATTTCCGTAGCATACAACAACAACAACAACAACAATAACCTTTATTTGCATGACCATAACAAAGTATTACAGTATTGCAAAAGCTACTTGAAATTACTCATTGATTCCTTGTAAATTAAATATTTAAAATAATTTGAAACTTATTAATCATTGTTTATTTCTAATCATCAGCATACAACAAGAAAAACCATCTCCCAGCGTTTCAAAATGCAATCATCCATGCTGCCTTATCTGTCCATTTTTAAAACAAGGCCAAGCCAACTACACCTTCACCTCCACCAAAGAGGAATGACGTATACATTACCCCTTAAACTGTAAATCCAAAAACCTTATCTATCTCACTGAACGCAAAAAATGCGGCAAACAGTACATTGGGGAGACCAAGCGCCCTCTCCACCAAAGCTTTAGGGATCATCGCCGCTCCATTCTCAACCGTAGGCACTTTCCTAAAAAATCCTTCTCCTGTATCCGAACATTCCAATTAAGCCGATCGCTCTGTCAACGAAGTCCTTCTCCTTATTCCCTTAGAACTAATCCGTAGCAACCAGGACCCTGTCAGAAAGGCACGCGAGACACACCTCATTGACAAAGCTATGACTTTAGAACCCCGTGATATAAATAGACGTGATGAACTCAATTAGTGACATATATCTTTTTAGTAGCCTATCATTTTCTGTTTGCTATGTATTCAAATCTCGCATATGTAACGTTCATCTTTTATCTGTATTCATTTTTCTTTCATAGCCCCCGTTGAAGGTTTGTGCTGCAAACCAAAATATCGGGCAGATATAATTCACCACTTTATTTTTTATTTCTATCACTCTTCCTGCCTTAAGGATCAGTTACTGTTTTAAGTTTGAAATTTGGTATTAAAAATGTATTTGCCGCAAGTTCAGTGAAGGGGCGGTAACCAAGCTCTATTTTGCTTGTCATGTTGGCTTTAGTCAAAGTCTTTTAATCCATCTTAATCTAGCTGAAGTGAGATCAGATATGTTTATTTCTCACCCATAAAAGAACATTAAATTTTTCAAACTAGCTGGAATTCAGCAAAAAGTTACTATTAACTGCTTTGTACATGTCAAGGAAACCTATCAGTCTTAGTTGCCTGTATGGCTAAGTGACGCTTCGCTTTGACTAGATGTACCATAAGTTACCAAGGCTTAAATCCGCAAATGTACTATCATGATAAGCCAGCAAATAAAGACAAAAGCGAATAGAGTTTTCCTGATATTTTGAACGGTCGAACCGTCGCTTTTCGGGGATTTCTCGAAGAAAAGATCCAGCTCCGAAAAAGCGCTTTACAGCGTATTCTTGGAATTTGATACTCAGTAACTGCTTTTAACGGCTTTTAGTTTCCGTTCTTCATTTAAAATATATGTCAAAAACAGTTGCTTATATATACCTCACAGTTTGCCCTAGTTCTCTGAAAACAAGAAATGGCCGTCGTCTTCATAACAAAATTTTAAATCCTTAATCTCGATCGCTAATCGCTTAAATCTCTATAAATCGCTGTGAACGCTTTCTAACAATAAGGCATTTCCCTACGAAATTCAAAGCCAGTTAATTAACCACCTCAATTTAGTCGTAGTAAATCATATGTTACTTCTCACCGAAACTAATGAATATAGCATCACAAAGCAACAACTTAAATTCAGGAATAAAAATTAATGTCACTTGAGAGTACGATGCTTTCTACAGACATAACGTGCAAGGAAATCTTGAAAATACTGACTAACAAAGACGTCGCCTCATACGAGTTTGCAACATTACCGAGTGATCCTGTTTGCAATACCTGCAACATCTACGTCCTACTCAGACTAGCTTCTCGCGTCTTTTTTTTGTGTACCTCAGTGACCCTTTTAACATGGACAAGTTAGGGAAACTTCGTCGACACTACAGGAAATAGTGTCTTTAAAATAGTATTGCCAAGTTTGAAAGCGAAGACATCGCTCCGCAAAAATGCGAAAATTCACAAACGTCAGTAAAATTTCACGACTTTGAGGAGCTACTAATATCTTTGTTCAACAAATCGCTTTCAAACTTTGCAACTTACAATAATGAATTTAAAGGCGCTTTTTTCAGCGGAGTCGACGGATTTTCCCTAACTTCTCAACGTCAAAAGTTGAGAAAAACCGCGAGAAGGTCGATTAATTGCAATGAATTTCATTTTGAAAGCCCTGTATATGCGGAATAAACAAATTGTAACCTGGAGGCTTTAAAACTCTCAACTCCGTAAATGAACTACCATGATAACTAAACAGAAAATAAGACAAAAGCAACTTGCGTTTTCCCTTTATTTCAAACAGTCAAACCGTCGTTCTTCGGAGACTTCATTAAAAAAAGGAAAAGGGAAAAAACAACGTACATCTATATACAACATTTCAAGACTGTCTAATTTAGACAGTATTGAAATGTTGACATTAAGATTTCAGGATTTGCCACTATACCGCCTTTAACATCTTTAACGTTTTTCGTTTGAACTGTATGGGAAAAAAATTGGGGGGGCTTGATCGAATCTTTATTTATTGTTATTATTATTAATGTTTTTAATTAAACTTCAAAATTCGCCATAGCTTACTGAAAACAACAACTGGCTCTCGTCCTTACCACAAAATTTTGAATCCTTAATCTCGCTAATCGCTTGCTGGAAAAGCACTGTGCTTTCGCAGCGAAAGCCTTGACAAAGCTACATTTTACTCAAAAATTCAAAGCCAATCAAAGAACCTCAATTTAGTCTTAGTGAGTCATATGTTACTTCTCACCGAAACAGATGCATAAAACGTCACAAACTAACGACTTAACTCTCATTGTATGAAAGGATGATTTGCTGATTTCCACAGGGAATGACCTTGTGAGAAAATCTTCAAAATACTGACACTGACCCTAGGTCGTTTCATAAACGTTCATAGCAATATTGCCAAGTGACCATATTTGCGATAATTGCAACACCTAACTACACTGTACCGAGACTCCCTTGGATATGAACGCTACAACTAACCATTCACTAGCAGTCTCAAACGCTATCAGCTGTGACTGGACATTTGATGATCAGTTTGTGGATAAACTTTTTTCAGTTCTTTCCATCATCCTGAACTTGTTAACTTGCCCTCTGACTATCCTTCTGAACACGCTGGTCATGATCGCTGTCAAGACAAAACCAAGACTTCAGAATGTGCACAATATAATACTGGCCTCTATGGCAGGTACAGATTTGGCGGTTGGAATAGTTGCCCAGCCAGTGTTCATCGCAAGAGAAATTTCCCACCAAACGGGTGGATCGCTTTCGATGTATTGCAAGCTGAGTACAATAACGCTGATAACAACAACTCTCCTTTGCATAACTTCTCTTTTTCATTTGACACTAATTTCCGTAGAACGCTTAATAGCAATGAAATATTCCTTAAGATATAACGACATCGCGACAAAACGACGTTTAACTGCTGCTATCGCATTGTGCTGGCTTTTCGCTACAATTAATGTAACTATCAGGCTTACTGTAGCGCGCATTACTGTATTTTTCGTGATGATTATTACTCCGGTGATTTTTTACTGTCATGTTTCAGTTTATTTTGTTTGCCGTCGCCATTTGCGTAAGATGAAATCTGAGCAAAATTCTAGTGAAGCCACAACAAAGTTTTTAGAGGATCGGAAAGCTTGGAAAACGACCAGTATCATTTTAGGTGGTCTTCTTTTATCTTTTTTGCCACAACTTTTGCGGGCTACAGCCCAACGGCAATTTTCAGTTCCATTACTGAATAGTGTAGAGCCATTGGCATTTTCCTGTGTCATGTTAAATTCAATTCTGA